AAGAGTTAATTTTTTCGGTTTGTTCAGCTTTTTACTTGTTAGGACATAGTAGGGACTTTAAGCCCCTCACATGTAGAACAAGAAGCTGGAAGTCTTACCTTTGTTTTTTGAATGATATTTTAGCTGAGTATAGAATTCTAGGTTGATAGTTATTTTGAGTCCTTAAAGATGATGCTTCAATGTCTTCTGTCTTGCATTGTTTCTGAGAAGTACGCTGTCATTTTGTCTATGTATGTAACATTCCTTTGTTCTAGTTGCCTTTAAATTTTAAATCACTGGTTTCAAGCAATTTTATTTTGCATGTCTTGGCGTAATTTTTTTCGCGTGTCTTGTGCTTGGAGTTCACTGAGCCTCAGATTTGTGGGTTTACAGTTTTCAACAAATTTGGAAATTTCTCATTCCTTATTTCTTCAAATACTTTTTGTCTGTCCTCTCTCACCTCATTTGGGGACTCAAATTACAAGAACATTAGGCTACTTTAAGTTCTGCCAAAGCTCATTGACATCTTGTAATATTTTTTCAGCATCCTTCCCCAATTTCTGTGTCTCTAAATGTCCTTTCTTCTGCACTGAATCTGCTGCTAATGTCATTTAGTGTATTTTCATTCCTGACATAGTATTTTTCATCTACAGAAGTCTGAGTTGAATTTAACATGCTCAGTCTTTCTCTACACTCTTAAATATATGGAATGTAATTATAATAACTTCATATGATTTACTTTGATGAAAACTAATAACTCTCTTAACTACTTTAATGTCTGTTTATATTAATTCTATTTTGTGTAATTTCTGGGCTGATATTACTGTTTCTTCAATTTTGAACTTTATTTTCCTGCTTCTATGTAGGTCTATTAATATTTAGAGACCAGACAGTGTGAATTTTACCTTCTTACAGGTTGGATATTTTTGTATTCCTAAGACTCCTGAGCTTTCTTCTAGAACAGACATTTGGAAACGGTTTAATCCTCTTGAGCCTTGCTTCTTAACCTTGATAAGCCAGATCAAAGAACTCATTCTCTATTTTTCCCACTACTAAGGCAATGCACTTCTTAGCACGCTAACCAAAGCCCTATATTTGTCATGGTTTTCCACTTTTTCTGGTGGGAACACGCCCAAGGATATTTTTATTCCTTTTGGGTGATTCTTTCTCCACCTCCACTCTCCACCTTTGGCAAGAACTTTCCTCACCAGATGCACTGCTGCACTAAGCTGAATACCCTGAGAAACGCTCTGTAGGTCTTTAGGGCAGCCCTGTCCTAATACTCTGCTCTTCAGTCTCATGCTATCTTGGCTTCCCAGGCTCCCAACTCCTTTTGAACTAAAGGAGGCCTTTCCTTGTGTTGTGGCCTGGAAAGTCTCACCAGGCAATTAAGGTAGGGGCAATATTGGGGCTTACCTTACCTGTTTCTCATCTCTTGGAGATCACTCTTGTCCTGTTTGACACCCAAATCAATGGAAACAACCGCTCCATACATTTTTGTGTGTTACTTTAAGTAGTTTCTGGTAAGAATTACTCCATATTGGCTGAGAGTAAAAGTCCCTCACCAGAAATAAATCTCCTGTTGTGATCATCTGTCAGGCTTCTGTGTCTTAATTGCAGAAGCAGCATTATTAACTCCATAAACCTCTCAAAAACAAAATTATTTTGTTTTGGTTTATTAAGAGAATGCTTCTCTAGGGCAGTGATTGGGACCTTCCTTTCCTCTACAGTATACTCAAGGGATGCAACTACATAGTATCATTAACAGCAGCTTTCAACTGCAATGATTCTTAAGGAAATGGGGCATTCATGTGTGGCCTGAAAATAGCCATTAATGCTTCTAATAAGCTGAAAATTTACATCTGTACAATTTCTCCTTTGTGTATAATATTGTATTGGCTGTCTGACTATACTTATTAAGTATAATAATATACTTATTAAGCTATACTTATTAAGAATATTTTATTCCTTTTATTAAGAATCTTTACAATCTTTTTTAAATTGGGAATAGGCTTTAAATATGATCAACTTTTTGGCATCTAATAATACCTGAGTTTCTACTGATGTAGCATTTCCTTATATTGAGCCTATATATAGCCCTAAAATAAAATGAGCTTGGGCATGAGATATTACTTTTATTTCTAAATGCCACATGCTAGTGTTTAAGATTTTTTTTTTTTTTTCTGAGATGGAGTCTCGCCCAGGCTGGAGTGCAGTGGCATGATCTCAGCTCACTGCAACTTCCTCCTCCCGGGTTCAAGCAATTCTTGTGCCTCAGCCTCCCTGAGTAGCTGGGATTACAGGCACCCACCACCACACTGGCTAATTTTTGTATTTTTAGTAGAGATGGGGTTTTGGCCTCTTGGCCAGGCTGGTTTCGAACTCCTGACCTCAGGTGATCCACCTGCCTTGGCCTCCCAAAGTGGTGGGATTACAGGCATGGGCCACTGTGCCCGGTTGTATTTAAGATTTTCAAATGCATGTGCACAGGTGAGAACAGTTAAGCTTTCCATTTTTAGTAATCTACTTCGCATTTTGTTAACCTTTGATCTCAACAACAGGAACTCATTCTTGTTAAGCCAAAGTATAATTTATTGGAAAGATACAGTTTACATAACAGCAAAGAAGGCTGATGAACCAGATTCATAAAGACACATGGAGCACTTTAGCTTCTCATCTTCAATGTGAATAAACCTCAATCATTGTATTTGCATTATTTCAAATAATTCATCTAATTAGCTTAGTTTGGGTCTCATCCTCATTAAAAAGTTAAGGAAAGTAGCTGACAATCTCACCAAAGCTCTATGCAATTGCAGATGAGTTAATTCTCTAAAAGTTAACTGAGATGCTACCACTAGAAAAAAGGAAATGGAGGCAAGACAGATAAAATCAAGAGATGGTCATATTGATTAAACAGTATGTCTTAAACTTTCCTGTGCTCCAAAATAGGGAAATTAACAGCTACCTTAAATTGGAAATGACTAAGTGCACAGTTTCCTCACGTACATTTAGTAAGCATTTGTAGAGTCCTCAATGTCTTCCCAATTATTGTTCTATTCAAATTTCTCACCTCTAAAAGACTCAACTTTAAAGATAGCTATAATTGATGACATCCATATCAAATAAGCAATAATTACTTTGGTCCAAGTCCCCTCACTCCCAGATTTTAACCTATATACCAGGTGCACTTATGTGTCCCCTCATGGAGTTCAGGCTCATTGAATTTTAAAGACCACTTCAGACCTCAAATAGGCAGTAAGTTTATAAAAGCCACCCTTGTCTGCCTCAATATATAGAAATTTTTCTTTACTGTTGGTGACCTATCTGTTATTCAGACTCATTGCCAAGCGAACAGCATAGTGTTTGGGAGTGTGAAGTTTTAAGTCCAATCGATTTAGGTTTCTAGCCTTGCTCTGCTCTTTTTCTTAGCTGTGTAAACTTGGCCTGTTTACTTTTCCTCCTTTAGTTCGTTCTCTCCTCTGTAAAATGTAGTTACCAAGGAAACATTATTAGAACCTGAAATTTCGCCATTACTTATTTTGAGAATTCTCTTTTTGAGAGTAATCTTAAAATGTTTTAGGGTCTTCAAAAAACTGTTTTGCCTGTCATCTCTGACTTCATCCTATTATAGGTCCATGAAGTAAGTATGAAGAGAAACCAATACAGGCCAAGTGGACCGAGTACCAGCACACAGGTTCTGGTCCCAGCTCTATCATTACAGCTTTGTATCCTTGGGCAAACTAGTGTCAATAAAAGATAGAGTCTTTAATACATTAACGGTTTTCAAAGCCTAATCATATAGAAAGACCTGTGTTATACCACCAATACAACTGAATAACGACCCTTTCCATCAATATCAGACAATAAGTTTTGGACAGAATATTTTCAACTTAAGTTTTTTTCTCCTGTACATTCTTCAAAGATCCAGACTGCTGATGTTTTAAAAACCCAAAACACGGCACTATTCTGCCTGGTTTATCAAAATATTTTTAATACAGCATACACTCATTTTTCGCTAGCCAAACTGCTTATAATGGCACTAAATACACTAACATACTGTGTTTTAGTACGAAGCAATAATTAATACTCAGAGTACTCTCAGGAAATCCGCAAGCTGAGTAAATCTGAAAAGAAGATCTTGTAACCACCCTTCCAATCGACTTAGTAGGGTTCTACGGCCCTAATTAAAAAGCGAGAAAACTTTAGCACTCAAGTCCAAAGGGGACTGCCCAACTCAGTCTCAGGCTTCAATTTTGCACCTGGGAAAAAAGAAACACAAAAGGGAAATGCTGCCTTCTTGGCTCTGGGGGTGGTGACGGGAGCGGGGCCCACTGAGGAGCGATTTCAATTAAAGGGTCGGACAAAGCCGTCTCGGGTCCCTAGCAGTCTCCGCACTCACTGCCTCCTTCTCGAACATGCTAGGCCTCCTCTCTTTCCTAGGCGTCACCGGCGCCTGCTGAGAGCTCTGGTTCGGGGTCTGGATGAGGCTCGACTTCACGCCTCGGCCTCGCTTCTCCATCTCGCTCTGCTCCCCAAGACTCCCACTGCCTCTCCTCCGCCGACCGTCAAACGCCTCAGCAGCTCCCGCGAGGGCGGAAGTCTCCCGCCTGCGCCTGGAACGGTCGGAAGTGCCCGCTAGGGCTCCAAGGCGCCTGGAGGCGGGGCGCGCAGGTGCCTGCGTCATTCATGCGCGCCGCAGCTGGGCACCGGAAGTTATGGAGGTAGGGCGGGCGCAGGGGCCGGTTCGATCCCGAGCTAGGCAGGGAGTCAGCGCCAGGCTGGGTGGTGTTCGGCTACGCGGAGTGGGTGGGCGAGCACGCGCCTGCGGTGACCGGCGGTCCCGCGCTGGAGGGCGCTGGCGCCGTCGCGGCCCTGGCCTCTGTGGCGGTATCGGACGCTCGGCCTTGCAAGACGCCTGGCGGGCCCTGCCGGCGTCCCGGGGCCGGGCTCGGTTTCTCCGTCGCCTCTTGACCCTCAACTGGAACGCGGCGGACGGTCAGGGAGGGCTGTGCGCCATGGCGCGGGGGCGGAAAGCCGCAGGTCGGACTCTCACCTGACCGTGGCCTCGTTCCTAGAAGCGCAGTTTCGTAGTCGTTGCCTGTAGGGTCCACACTCGGACAGTAAATTTGTTTTCATCGCTTTTAGACCGTTTGAGTCACTATGAAACTCATCACGACGGCCTCACCGACCTCGTGTCAGGAGATCTGGTTGCCTCGTAATAAACATTTATTTATTTTTCCTCCCTGAGGCAATTAAATATCAAACACCTATCATCAGCAGTAACGACAGCGGAGCCGGGCGTGGTGGCGCCTGTGGTCCCAGCTACTCCGTAGGCTGAGGTGGAAGGATCGCTTTAGCCGAGGAGGTGGAGGCTGCGGTGAGCCGATACCGCGCCACTGCACCCCTGTCTGGGCGACAGCGAGACCCCATTCCCAAAATAATGATAACGATAACTACCATTTTTGAGTACTATGTGCTAGATGCTTTTCATGTATAATCTGATGACTGCAGCCCTACAAGGTGCAGCCTGGCACCGTTTTATTTCACTTAGAACTGAGATTCGGATAAAGTAAGTTTTCCAAGGCAAGAGGTAGTCAGAGACTGAGGAATGATTCAAATTTAAGTCCAGCCCCAAAGCACCGGCCTAGTGTAGTCTGCAGAGTTCCAGCCCCATAGAGCCCAATGGAGGATGCGAGTGACAATCGCCATTCAAAAATAGTTCATGCCGATTTCTTTAGTGATGACTTAATTGTTAGCGCCTACTGGGATTGTTCAAAAAGTAGGGCTGAGAGTGGAAAGTGCAACTTCTGGGGACAGGAGGAGCAAACAGGGCAACTGATACTGAGCAGGACCAGGGAACTCAGACTGATCAGTTTCCACTTTACAAAGCTGCCCAGAGTTAATTGTGACTGTCACAACACAGCCACTCCTTAACTCGACACACCAAAATAAAGAGCCTCGGTTCAGCTTTGGATCCTGAATTTGACTTCTTTGCAGGATTATAGATGGTCTTAGTGTCATGTGGGATAGTCGTAAGGATTTTGATTTTATTTGATTCTCCATGGAAAACCAGTACGGTTTGCTACTTTTTACATGGCAGGGAAGGCTAAACTTTACCTCTGCCCATGTTAGTTCAGAGTGACCCCTTTAACAAATGAAAGGTTAATAAGAAAAAGGTTTATTAATGTACAGAGTACACATCACAAGGGATAAACGTCAATGAAAAGTAACTTGAAATGGTGGCTTAGAACTACATTTGTATACCATCTTCAACAAAGAACTATAGATTTGCAGAGAAATGACACAGGAGAGCAGTTTCAGGCTTCAAAGGGCAAGAAACTGGGAAAGTCGATACATATTTGAAAACTGATGGAGTAAAAATTGTTTGCACATTCCTCTGGTACCTTCTCTGGTCTGGTAAGAGTCTAAAGTTATCCCCAGTAAAGAATATATATCCTGTGTTTGGGTGGAAGAGGGGGAGGAGAGAGAGCTTTTCCTTCATTTGCTGCCTCTTGTCTTCAGCTCCAATTTGTTGTTGTTTTTATATCAAAGAGGCATGTTTTGGGATGACATTGTGGTTTTCTCCAACACCGTTTAGGGAGTCAGAGGTACGCGGGGTTCTTTTTCCTTCTTGTTCATTATACTTGGTTTCTGCTCTCCCATTCCCCATTTTAAAAAACTGCTTATTTTGATAACTCTAGGATAGTGAAGGAATGCTGAGAGGAATAATGCTCTGTTGGTAAAATACATTCAGCTTCCATGAACTCATGTCTTTTTTTCTTTTTTTTTTTAGTGAAAGCAAGTTTATTAAGAAAGTAAAGGAGTAAAGAATGGCTACCCCATAGGCAGAGCAGTTTGCAAATATTATGATTGATCATTTTAAGTCTTTAAACCTTTATCATATTTGAGAACATTTGTGTAAATTTTATTTATTTATTTATTTATTTGAGACGGAGTCTGGCTCTGTCGCCCAGGCTGGAGTGCAGTGGCGCGATCTTGGCTCACTGCAAGCTCCGCCCCCCGGGTTCATGCCATTCTCCTGCGTCAACCTTCCAAGCAGCCGGGACTACAGGTGCTCGCCACCTCGCCTGGCTAATTTTTTTGTATTTTTAGTAGAGACACGGTTTCACGGTGTTAACCAGGATGGTCTAGATCTCCTGACCTCGTGATCCACCCGCCTCGACCTTCCAAAGTGCTGGGATTACAGGCTTGAGCCACTGCGCCTGGCCAAATTATCTTTAATATTTAATCACAATGTTTTAATCATACAACTTTCATGATATCCAGAAAGCATGTTAACAGCAACTATACCTGAGTGCACTCAGTTCTTAGAGAATTTTCTTGTGACTTAAATATATAATACTCTGTTTTTCTTTCAGTTAAGCAGTGCCTTTTATTTTATTTTTTTTAGGTATTAATAGGGGACCCTATTACCACATGTCTTTCTCCCTCGGTGTATGATATAATTTGTAATCTTGGGTTTCAACTCAGAGAAAATTGTGATATCAATAGCATTGTTACTCAGAATGGTGAAGTATGCTGGAAAACAATCACAGACTGTGTGAGCTACACGGAGTCAGGTTTGTGCTGTCTTTGTACTCCAAACTTTCATAACTGTTCCATTGAAAATGTCTTGACCTGTAAAATTCCCCTTTCTGACCACTGGTTCCTTTTGTTAGATAATGTTATAATACAGGCCTCACTCCAAAGGAGAACAGAAATTAATGTGAAAAGAGAAGGGATGAGTACAGAGAAGCATGGAGAAATTAATGGAAAGCTGGGCTAAGAAAACCTCCTCTACAGAGGAGGTGTCAGGAGGCAGAGAGGGGCTGGTGGACTGTTGATGATGTAGATCTCAGGGCCTTGAGATGATTCTCCATAGGAGTCATATAAATTAAAGGTAGAAAATGACCAGTAATAGATTATACAGTTATTTTAAATGTCTTCTAGGCATTCTTGCACACTTTGGAGCAGAGATATAGATGCGGAAATTTAATAATAGTTATAAAAATTACAAATGAACATACTCTGGCCTAGCAGTCCATTTTCAGTAATCTTTAAGACAGATACAGATATGAAAGTGTGATTGTGCAAGGTTATTCCTTGCAGCATTGTTTGTAACAGCTAAATAAATAAACAGCCAAACATCAAGCAGTAGGGGATTGGTTCAGTAAATTATGATAAATTTATATAATGGAATATTATGCAGTGGTACAAAAGAGTGAGGAGGCTCATCTGATACAAAAGTCTCTGAGCTAAGTTGGAAAAAAAATAGGACAGGCTTGTATTTGTAATTACCCTTTGGTATTTATTGATGATGAACCAAGCGGATGGTTAATGCCAAACTTATCAAAAAAAAAATTAAAAACTTCATATGATAAATACATTTAAAACAATTCATTGCCATTAGAAATCTCAGTCTAATAACGTTAACTTAAAAAAATCAGGTTACAAAGTTGTGTATACAGTGTGAGCCTGGTTTAACTTAAAAAAAAAAACCAGGTTACAAAATTGTATATACAATGTGAGCCTGGTTTTCTGTATTCTTAAGTACAGGTAAAGACATTGACAAAAATAGTTTTCTCTTGTTTGAAACTTTTTGTATTTTCCAAATTCTCTGCTGATAGTATAGTTTTCTTTCATAACCTAAGCATTATGTGATTTATTTCCAACAATGTAAAAGTATATCATATGTTCAATGATAAGCTAATTGTTGATTTTCTGGAAATTTTATAATTAAAGCATTTTTTCTGTGATGATATAGATATTTTATATCACATGATATGGAGCTATGGTGCTGAAATTTGTTTTCTTATCCTTTAAGATCAGGGTCTGGATTACTGGGGAAGCGTGAGGCTGCTTGGCCCTGTGTGTGAGGCTGTCCATTCACATTTCTTATCTTTGACCAAGGGGCAATTTGAAATTCGATATGCACCATGGTTCCAGTGGACAAGTTTTCCAGAGGTTTGGCTTTTGAACAACCTTTAGAAATAAAAGACTGTGCAAATACTACTTAGAGGACTTATTATTTGCCAATTTTAAAGGGGCTTCCTTCATCTCCAGGCCCTCCAGCTGTGAAGAAGTGTCGAGGGTTGCAAGAAAACCCTGGGCTGTTATGCCAGGTCTCCAAACCCTGAGCTGAGAAACATGCCCTTTGGAACACAGAAAGGTTTTGAATTCATTATCACAGGATTAGGGGTTGGAGAGCTAACATTTGGCACATAGTGCTCGTCCAGGGATAGAAGAAAAATTGACCACTCCAGAATAAGAGGCCCTGTGGAGAGGTATTGAGGTGTTCTAAGACAGCCAGGCCTGGAGACCAGAGCTGGGATACTTGGTTTGTTAATGGGGAACTGAAGGGAATATGGGTAATTTGGGCCCCAACCCAAAATCTTGTTTTGGTTTGTTTTTTTGGTCAGTTTTTCTTCATTTTGTTTGGCACACTAAATGACCACAGTAAAGCAGTAACTGTAACAAGTCTAATTCTGCTTTGAATTTGGAGTGAAGGAATCATCATGTCCCCCTTGTACTAGCGCCTTTAAGTGGCAGGATGAGCTGCCTTGTGTGTATCTGTTTGAGGACTCAGCCAAATCAAAAGGAGAAACACGATGGAGGTCGAAATGCTTGACTTTTCCACTTAAATTATGCCAGATTTGTTGCTTTCAATAAATGTTTAAATAAAGAACTTTCAAGGAATTCTTTAGCTATTAAAATATTTTTATTGATTCTTTAAGCAATATAATTATACAGAAAATGTTTACTTATTTGCTGAAAATAACAAAATATAGCAGTTGAAATCTCTCGAGGTTTGAATTTCAATAAATAATGTTACTTTGAGAAGTAGTTTTGGAGTGTACATCCTAATATATGTTTTATTCTAAATAGTTATTTCCTGAAATATTTGATGCCTTGGAAAGTCTACAATCTCCCGCTATTTCTCTTAGTTTAATGAAACTGACATCGTGTCTGGAACAAGCCTTGGGTGATGTAAGTGCGAGAACTCTTCCATTATTGGCCCATTAAATTGTCTGAATGAACATTAAGCTATTTTACAGTTGTCCTCAGATTTCTTATTTTCCTATAACATAAAATCATTTGGTATACATTTTTAATATTTCCCTTTTGAATGATGATGAAATCAAAGGATTGGTGTCTAAGTACTTTTCACCCTTCATTTGTACAAACAGTTGTTTCATGGATAATGTTTTTAATGTTTATTGACTCATAATGCAACTGTTGCACAATTTTTGTTTGAATTTTAGGTATTTTTACTGATTGGGAAAGAATGCCCCTTTCTTTTAAGAGATCTGCTTGCATCTGAGGAACTTGCTCAAGTCTTCGGGCAGTCTGTGGTAAGCTTGTTCATCTAAACTCATGGGGAGTGTATTAGTCCGTTTTCATGCTGCTGATTAAGACGTACCCGAGACTGGGAAGAGAAACAGGTTTAATTGGACTTACAGGTTCACATGGCTGAGGAGGCCTCAGAATCATGGTAGGAAGATAAAGGCACTTCGTATATGGCAGCAGCAAGAGAAAAATGAGGAAGAAGCAAAAGTGGAAACCCCTGATAAACCCCATCAGATCTCATGAGACTTACTCACTATCACGAGAATAGCACAGGAAAGACTGGTCCCCATGACTCAGCTACCTCCGCCTGCGTCCCTCCCACAACTTGTATCTTCCAATTCTGGAAGATACAATTCAAGTTGATATTTGGGTGGGGACACAGCCAAACCATATCATGGAATAAGTGCAAAACAGCAATTCACATATGCTATGCTTTTGTTCTTCCCAAATTGATGATGCTTTAGAAAAAAATTGTATCAGTGATTCAAGCATATTCTTCCTTCCCACCTTCCCTTTCAAAATTGCCCCTCCTCCAGCTCGTAGAAAGCTTTCCTATCCCAAGTGTGAATAACTCCGGGGCACCACAGGGCCAGTGTGAAGCATGTTGCCTCGATCAATTACATATTATTAACTATAATAATCCAGAATACAACTTTAACCCTTTAAATGAGTGATAATGTGGTTTTATTTGAAAATTTTAACGTGAAATTATGCCTTTTACAACCATTTAAACTTACAGTGGAAAAAAATTCAGATGTTAAAAAAATCATGCAGTTACATACTATATTAAAATCTCCTAAAGGGCACATGATCAAGAGACTTAAGACTAATGAATATCCTTATGCAACTGAGTGAGGCAGGGTCAAGATGAAGAAACCCAGGAGAGCCTTATGTGGAAGCTGCGCTTGCCAAGCCAGGAAGCTGCCAGATGATTTTTGGAGTAAAGAAATTTGTCTTCAGTGGAGCTTTTCCATTCATTTCCGTGGGTCTTTACTGCTTGTCGGCTTAAAGATCATTTTCTTTTGTGGAGAGCTTGGAATGAAGATAAAAAGTGCAAACCTTTTGTTGTTACACTGAATTCTTTTTTTTTTTCTTTTTCTTTTTTTTTTTTTTTTTTAAGACAGAGTCTCGCTCTGTCGCCCAGGCTGGAGTGCGGTGGCTGGATCTCGGCTCACTGCAGGCTCCGCCTCCTGGGTTTACGCCGTTCTCCTGCCTCAGCCTCCCAAGTATCTGGGCCCGCCACCTCGCCCGGCTAGTTGTTTGTTTGTTTGTTTTTTGTATTTTTTAGTGGAGACGGGGTTTCACCATGTTAGCCAGGATGGTCTCAATCTCCTGACCTCGTGATCCGCCCGCCTCGGCCTCCCAGAGTGCTGGGATTACAGGCTTGAGCCACTGTGCCCGGCTGTTACACTGAATTCTTAAATACATTTTGTTTCTTTGATCTGTTCTTTGGTACTTGCTTATATGTGATTGGCCTTCTGCCCACTTGTGGCCCCTTCAGCTGCCAGGTACTTTTACTTGGTCACTGCCATTTATACATCTGATTGACCAGACAGTGTGAACCATGAATATTTCATAAATTATTGGTAGAGCAAAAAGGTCTCCTGAAGCTGCATAGAAGAACTGCTTGTTAAACGTTCCTACATTCAGTAGAACTGCTCTTGATCATTTCCACCTCCTGGTTTTGGGTCTCCCCTCTGAGGGAAGTTCAGAATGCATCCACATTCCCTTCTCAGCAGCCATCTTTCACATGCATGAATACAGTGTTCACTTCCTTCTCGAGTCTTCTGGAGGCTCAACTATTCTTTCTCCTATGACAGAGTTTTAAGTTCTTTTAGTCTTTGAACATCTTCTGTTATTTTCTGAGTTTCTTCTAAGTATGGTGCCTCAAACCCAAAGCAGTTCTCTGGGCGTGGCATGATTGTAGTCCATTAAGTAGGACCCCTGGTTGGGTGTTTTCTTCACTCTGTAAATAGATGGTGGGGTGGATCAGTGATGGGCTTCACGTCAGACAGCTAGGAAGTGGAGGCTCAAGCCTGGAGTCATGCTGCTCGGGCATCCCCTGCTGCCTCTGCTTAACCATACAGTTGCATGCTGCTTAATACAGTGATATGTTTCTGCTTGTCATATCATTGTCTTTTTAAATTTTATTTAGATGTTAGGCACATTTGAAGCACTTTATTAAAGCAGGATAACCTGGGTTGGATCTTATCCCCCATATTGATTTTGTAGCCTTTGAGACCTTGGTTTCACCTTTCCATGCTTGTATTTATTTCACCTAGATGCTGGGGATAATAGTAGTACCTTCCTCGTAGGTTGTTCTTAGGATGAGTGAGCTGATGAATACATATAAAATGTGTCTAGCACATATTAAACACTCAATGTTGGTTTTATTATTATTACTGCTATATACTAGCCAAAACTGTTGGCTCTGTCAGTTAAAAAGAGCAGAAATATTATCTTCATATTATATTGGTTTATTCAATAATTCAATAATAATTAACTATGTAATGATTTGCTGTCCTTAACCGGATTAGATGAATGTGCTAAAAGTCTTCGTTGGCTCTCCGTGTGGTCTCAACCTGCGTAACGTCTTATGGCATGGGTTTGCGTCCCCTGAAGAAGTTCCTCCAAAGTAAGTTTCAAGTGAAGGAATTTTCTTCCTTTTCTGGATCTACCAAAGAGTTTTTTAAATTCTGAATTTCATGAGAAAGAAGTAGATTTTGTGAAACATGAGTGAGTTTTGAGATAGCATTTTGAAGATGAAATTGAGTATTACTAGTGTAGTCACCAGAGTGATGACCGGGTTATGGTTTCAGTGACTTACACCCCAAAGGCAGTTCAGGGGCGACACCAGAAGGATGTTATGCCATTCACGTCCTGGGTGGGTGGAAGACCCTGAGGTTTCATTAGGGTCTTCATCAGAGTTTCTGTGGTGTTACTGTGCCTCCCAACTCTTGCACAGCCTAATTCCTACATCTAGAGAATTTTGGGCAATTTTTTTTTTCTTTGAGATAGAGTGTCACTCTGTCACCCAGACTGGAGTGCCATGGTGCATTCTCAGCTTACTGCAACTTCCTCTCCCAGGCTTAAGTGATCCCCCTGCCTCAGCCTCCTCAGTAGCTGGGACTATGGGCACACGCCACTATGCCCACATAACTTTTTTGTATGTTTTGTAGAGATAGGATTTCACCTTTTTGCCCAGACTGGTCTCAGACCCCTGAACTCAAGTGATCTGTCTGCCTCGGCCTCCCAAAGTACTGGGATTACAGGCATGAGCCACCATGCTCAGCCAGTTTCATGCAATTTAATGGTGCTTTGCTTTCTTAATTTTAAATTTGTATTTTTCACAGTGAAGCTTTTTATAGGCATGATTGAGTACATTTTTGTAACAGATCTCTATGGTATTTCCCCTAGATACTGTTCAATGATGATGCTGTTGACAGCAGGATTGGGTCAGTTACTGAAGAGTTACCTTCAAAAAACTAAACTTACATTGGCACATCGCTCTTTCATAACTCCTACAAACCTTGAGGATTTGATTGTTTTTCCTGGTAAGTACTACGTTTCACATTTCTTCCTTAATGTAGCTCTGCGTAGATATTTGCAAAGTCAGTAAACAGCATTAAGAGGTGCACTCTTGAGGTGGGGTGAAGTAGTTATTCTTCAGTAGTCGGATGGCTTTCAGAGTTGCTTGAAGAACCTCCTACATTTTGCCACCCAAAGCCCTGCCTCCTCCTACCATGCCCTGGGGTTGTTGTGGGGGTCACAGGAAGTGCAGCTGTGTGAGTCAAGCTCTTTCTTCCTCAGATGCCCTATGCGCAGCAGTGGTCTCAGGCTGTTGGATGATGTACATTTTCTCCTCCTTTTATCTCTTGTATTTTTGTACTCATGATTGTTATACCAGAAATACTTATAGTAGTATCAAGGGTCTTTTACACCTTCTGAAAATGTATTTTACTTCTCTTGGTCATTGTGCTCAGTTGGTCCACCCTGAACTGTTGCCTAAATCACTGAAGAGCTGTCCATGCCCCACTTTCCAAGGGTCACCTGCACCTCAGGCCCTTGGTCAGGGCAATCCTACTCTCTAACAAGTCCCCTGCTGCAGGGGTCACGGTTCAGCCACCTAAAGCGGTTGGCTCATTGGCGTCACTCCTCCAGCGTGTTTCTGTCTTTTTCCAGTTGATCATTATGATTGTGTTTAAAACTGTATGTTATTTTACAGATGTTACTTATGAGGTGCTCTCAGTATTAGAAGAAGCGATGACGAAATCTGCTTTTATATTAAAAATCATGTTACCATATTGGGAAGTTGCACTGGTCAAGTTCAAGTCACACAGGTAACTGAAGGGTGCATGGCAGAGTGGTTTGCAGTGGTTGGAGGCCAGTCTTTCTTGATGCCCTTCACTTTCGATGCTTTTTGCTGTTGGAGTAGGAGTGAAGAGAAGCTGGACTGACTTGAGCAGACCTGAAAATAAAACACCTTCATAGAGTTGCTTCAAGGACAGCCTGTGATTGTATCTTAAACATTTTGTGCTGGCCTTTTGGTGCAGTTGATAGAATTGTTTTTTAGGATCCACTTTTTAATATTTTCTGGAATTCTTAGAATGAGCAAAACATGTTCAGAACCATGAAACAGAGATAAGCCAGCTTTGTCCTTACATTCTGTTTCTGTTTCCTCAGGAGCAAACACGTGTATGGTCGCCACCAGAAGGTCTGGTGAGCTGGTCTTTAGTTCCTTAAAGGATATTACCCTAATTCATTCATTTTTATGCCTTGAGAACCCACTGAAATCCTGGTATGTGCATTTTTGTTTTTTCTTTTTGAGACTGGGTCTCACCCTGTCACCCAGGCTGAAGTGCATTGGAACCATCTTGGCTTACTGCAGCCTTGAACTCCTGGGCTCAAGCAGTCCTCCCACCTCAGCCTCCTGAGTAGCTAGGACTGTAAGTGTGTACTACCATGCCTGGCTAATTTTTGTACTTTCTCTAGAGATGAGGTCTCAGTCCATTGCCCAGGCTGGTCTTGAACTCCTGGGCTCAGTGATCCTCCTGACTCAGCCTCCCAAAGTGCTAGGATTACAGGAGTGAGCCACTGCGCCCAGCCTCAGTATTTTCTAGAAGCAATGAAATGAGTTAGACAGTTCTTTGATGACATTTTGTTCTATAGAACCTACGAAAAATGGTTCATCAAAAATTAAAACAGTGGAAGGTTTTTTTAAAATCACTACTTAATGAAACTTTGGTTCTATGTGTGTGGGGTTTTTTTTTTTTTTTTTTTTTTGAGACAGAGTCTCACTGTGTCACCCAGGCTGGAGTGCAGTGGTGTAATCTCAGCTCACTGTATCCTCTGCCTCCTAGTTTCAAGCTGTTCTTGTGCCTCAGCCTCCCAAGTATGAGGGACTGCAGGCATGCATGCACCACCACACTGGGCTGATTTTTGTATTTTTAGTAGAGACTGGGTTTCGTCACGTTGGTCAGGTTGGTCTCAAAGTCTTAGCCTCACGTAATCCGCCCACCTGAGCCTCCCAAAATGCTGGAATTGCAGGCTTGAGCCACTGCGCCTAGCTGGTTCTGTTTTGCTTCTCATATTATCAGGTATTATAATTTCTCTTTGCCTTTGATATGTAGACTGCAGCAGTTATTGTGATGTTGGTGTCAATATTATTTTTGTTTTTTGCTTGTTTGTTTTTTACTTAGAGACGGTCTTACTCTGTCACTCAAGCTAGAGTAGCACAATCATAGCTCATTGCAACCTTGAACTCGTGGGTTCAAGCAGTCCTCCCGCCTCAGCCTCCTGAGTAGCTAGGACTACAGACAGTGCCACTGCACTCTGCTAATTTCTAAATTTTTTGTAGAGATGGGGTTTCCCAGGCTGGTCTTGAACTCTTGGCCTCAAGCGATCCTCCCACCTTGGCTTCCCAAAATGCTGGGATTGCAGGCGTGAGCCACTGCACCTGGCCTAATACTTACTTTCAAAACATGGAATTTTACCTATTTTCCCTTCAATTTCATAGGTTTGCTGACTGTGCCATATTGTTGCTGACACAACTAGAAACTGGACTTAGGAATGTTTTTGCGACACTTAACAGGTGTCCACAAAGACTCCTGACTGCTGAGGTAAACTTGTTTTTATTACTGATTGTGATGACTGTTGCTGTATTAACAGTTTTCTGTTACCAATGAAAAGTTTTTAAAAATTTTATTCTGTTTAACATTAAAATGCATTTTTTAGCTAAGAACTGTGGAAGTCTTCACTGTCATTTTTTAGGATTTATATTTGTTGTTTATGATTGTTTTTGATATTTCTGAAATATTTCCAAACAGTCTTTTAAACTTAATGATGCCACGAACGTAGTAGGCACTGATTCTCTCTCTAGCCGTGTTGATGGTGTGTCACTGTAACCGCGTGAGATGGCTGGGGTCTAGCCAGGAGACTGAGGCGACCAGTGGTTGATCCTGACCTTGGGAAACTAATTGAAACCTGAGCTTGACTTTCTCCATCTTCCAAATGGAAGATGTGGGATTTGGAGGTGACTTGGTTAGTGCCAACCCTGTAGCAGATCGTGGAAGCCTTTGTCTCACAGTTTCTTGAGCCCCTCCAAGTGTGTACACACACATGCACACACAGTGGCCTCAGAGTTCCCACTGTGTGTGGGAACTGACCACACCAACAAACCCAGTCTCTACTAAAAATACAAAAATCAGCCCGGTGTGGTGGTGCATGCATGCCTGCAGTCCCTCATACTTGGGAGGCTGAGGCACAACACTGACCCCCGGTTGCCCTGTCTGAGGCAAGCGTCTCTGAGTTTCCAGCCTACCTCCTCTGGCTCCTAGAATTTCTCATTTCTGCTCCTTTTGGTAGTTATGATAAGATCCTGCTGCTTAGTGACAGAGATCTCGAAATAATATGGCTGCAGTGACTGAAATAGGCTAGAAGTGCATTTCTGCCTTTCCCAAATGTGAGTAGCTCCCGCGGAGATGGCAGCACCCCCATCATCACTCAGACCCTCTGTGTCTTCTTCCACTGATGAGGGCCAGGCCTTCCTCATGGAGACTACTACTTCCTGGCTCCAGCCGGCTGTGTCAGCCATCACATCTGCTTTCCAGTCAGCAGGAAAAGCGAAGATTGGTGCACGCCCCTCTCTAAGGACACTTCCTGGAGGTAGCACAGGCTGTGGGCCAGAGCTCAGTCGCACTTGCTACCAGGGAGGCATGGAAGCGTTCCTGGGTGGCCAAGTGCCCGGCTTCCCACAGGACAATCTGTTGTGGAGGGAGGACAGGCACAGCCGCTGCACACCTCGGATTCTCATCTCCTTCTCTAGCTTGGCTTTTGCTTTTTGCCCCTCTTCGTAGGCATTCGTCAGTGCTCTGCTCTCAACCCTATCCTATGTTTCCTCTCCCTGGGACATCTTATGCAATTCTGTGCCTTACATTTTCATCTCTGGGGGAACAACAATTAGAAAATACTTTGAACTCAATGAAAACAAAACCCAACCTATGAGAAGTTTTGAACCCAGCGAAAGCAGTGCTGCGAGAGCTCACGGCCCAGGAGCCGGGCTCCCCAGCGTTGCTTCTCACTGACCCCCATCTGATCTCTGCAGTTAGATCTGCTCGTGTTCGCTGAATATCTTCATGTGAGTTTTCCTCAGCACCTCACGTTTATCTTATTTCAGAAAGGCATTGTTTCCCACAGATTTGTCCTCTGACGCTCCCTCTGTCATCTCAGCCTCACCAACTGCAGACTCCAACAGCATCTCGTGTTTCCCCCACACCTCCCATGTCCACTCAGTGGCCAGCACGGCTGGTGGTTTCCAGCCAGCTGACCTCGTGCTCTTCCTGTCCAAACTGAGAAGCCCCGCCTGGCTCCTCGGCCCACCCAAGCTCATCTCACGATTCTTCCTCCTTCTCAAATTTCACTCTCACAGTCCTGCAGATTCTTTTTTTTAGTTTTTTTTTTTTTTTTTTTTTGAGACAGGGTCTCTCTCTGTTGCCCAGGCTGGAGTGCAGTGGTGCGATCATAGCTCACTGCAGCCTCAATCCCCAGGCTCAAGCGATTCTCCCACCTCAGCCCCCCTGAGTAGCTGGGACCACAGGTGTGTGCTACTACACCTGGCTCCTTTTTACATTTTTTTTTTTTCTTGTAGAGACAGAGTCTTGCCATGTTGACCGGGCTGATCTGGAACTCCTGGGCATAAGTCATCCTTCTGCCTCGGCCCTCCAAAGTTTTGGGATTACAGGTGTGAGCCACCGTACCTGGCCCCACTGATTATTTTCTAAACTGATATTGTTAAGTTATTTATGGTTTTCTTCATTCGTTTAACCTCCTTGATGATGTCCTGCTGCCTGCCAGATGGAGTTCATCCTCTTCACGTGGCAGCAAGGCCTCGGGTGCTAACCCTGCCCTCCTCTTTGGTGTGTTCCCTGTTTGGGTCCCTCAGTGAAATTTAGGCTTCTTGTCAGCTCCAGAACTTGCTTGTCTTTCTTCTTACTTTGTTCCTCACCCCCAGACTTACTGCTCCAGATCAGGGGCTCTGACCACAAGAGCGACCTCCTGGAGGCTCATCTACTCAAAGGTTGAGGCTGCTTTTTTCTCTGTGTTCTGTTTCTGTCTCATCTTGGAGGCAGTCCTGCTTTGCCCTACTCATGTGCGTTTCTGCAGAGGTCTCTGCAGGTTCTCTGAGGCAGGCCTTCACGTTGCCGTCGCCTGGTGCCCACGCCCAGTGCCTTCCATGTAGGCCACTCAGTGCTATGTGGAGCGTAGCTTCAGGAAAGAGATGGTCCCCACCCATTAGAGCCCTTGCTTCATGATACCTGCATGGGGACTGGCTGCATGGTGGCACGCTCCATCACTCTAGGGCCATGTAGTGCAAATAAATTTGGATATTTGGATATTTACTTGTCATTTGACTTCATAAATAAATAACATGACTGTTTCCACAGAGGATATAATCTATCAAAGACTATATTAACTTTTAGCCCAGGCTTTTATCCAGAATAAACAGGATCAGTTTTTAAGGCAATATATATATATGAAGATATTTTATAAAACTTAATAAGACTCTGCAGATACTGTTATTATTTACTGATTACTTTTGTGTCATGAGGTCCCTTCAGGGCCAGTGGAAGATATGAATATGAGTGAGATTTTCTGACTTCAGAAGCTTATTTATCACGAGAGAGTGAGAAGGCATTTATACTAACTCTGTAAAACAAAATAGAAGCTAATGCATGTAGTTGATGGAGGTAAATGAAAAATTCCGCTTTTTGGAGAAAGTGGGAATGTGTGGTAGACAATTGGATATTTAGAACTCAGAGGGAATTTTAGGGCTAGCAATACAGATTTGAGAGCTAAAGATACAGATTTTAGAGTCATCTGTATAGTAATGTTGAAGAATATTGGCAATATGAAGTTTAAAATAGGTTATAAAACATTAATAAATCAAAAAACATTTCTTGAGAGCTAGCTTACACAAAATCCTGATTTCATCATACTGTCTGTCAAATCTCACTGAAGTGATTTCGTCACACTGCGTGTCAGATCTCACTGAAGTGATTTCGTCACGCTGTCTGTCAAATCTCACTGAAGTGATTTCATCACGCTGTCTGTCAAATCTCATTGAAGTGATTTCGTCACACTGTCTGTCAGATCTCACTGAAGTGATTTCGTCACGCTGTCTGTCAAATCTCAGTGAAGTGATTTCATCACACTGTCAAATCTCACTGAAGTGATTTCATCACGCTGTCTGTCAAATCTCATTGAAGTGATTTCATCACGCTGTCTGTCAAATCTCATTTCGTCACGCTGTCTGTCAAATCTCATTGAAGTGATTTCGTCACGCTGTCTGTCAGATCTCACTGAAGTGATTTCGTCACGTTGCGTGTCAGATCTCACTGAAGTGATTTCGTCACACTGCCTGTCAAATCTAATTGAAGTGATTTCGTCACGCTGTCAGATCTCACTGAAGTCCCCAGAAGCCTTTCGAGATAGGCATTCTTCACTTCTTCTTTTGCCGAGAAAACCTGCATCTGTGGCGTTCAATCAGTTGCCTGTAGGTTTCATGTCTAGAAAATGTTGAATTTGGGATCAGAACTCAGGACAGCCCATGTCTGTAGGCCGTGCTGATGATGCTGAGAAGCAGCGTGCATGAAATAAAATAAAAACAGAAAAGGCTGTTCACTGGAGAAAATAGGAAGCTGTGCTCACTTGTGCATGAATACCAGTTGTCAGGAGAAGTATTCTGTTGTATGAGCAGCGATTTGTGAGGACCTGGGATCGTACATTTTAGAGATGACTGGGCTAAAGCTCTGTTGAGGGCAGTGTCCTAATGCGGCTGCATGGCCAGCTGCGCTGTGTTTTTGCATATTTGTAATGTGTTCATTTGGTCAGTGACATTTCTCTCATAGTGTTTCTAGATGAATGTTTGTTTTAACAAAAAACTGGGATGTGTGGCCATGTACCAGAATTTTTTCTTATTTTGTATAGTGTTACTGTATTTGTATTTTGCTTTAATTGTTTATTTTCATTTCTTTCCTTTTCTGAAGTCAACAGCTCTTTATACTACCTTTGATGAAGTAAGTACACTTGTAAGGTAATTTGAAACAAACAGAACACTGTCTTCTTTTAAAATACAAATTAAAACGCAAAATTAAAGATCAGCCATAAATCATATGCTTACAGGAAAATGTCCATAGTAATATAAACCAAAAAAAGCTTATAATTGATACTTCTGGTTAATTTTGAGGCCCAATATTACCAATATAGCTCCCAAAGCTATACAAAGCTCAAAGTTGGAAAATATCAAGGGATCTAACATGATTAGCTATAATTATTTAGAGGCTTGCATTTTAGATTTAGGGGTAACATTTTTTGTACAATAAATATTCCCCAACTCCTATTATGAGTGTGTAGTATATATTGATTCATTTAATCTGCATATTGGGGGTGTGAATAGTGAAAAAACCACAGTTGAAAATGCCTTTTATTATCCATAGAGTGTAGGCACTTGTATGTGTAATCGCGGATAGCATTCGTGTGCACCTGAAGTGTGACAGTCTATAGGAAACCAAGGGAAGGGCCATCTGTAGAGGTCTGGACATTCGGTTTTGCCTTTAAGACAACTGTAAGATTCCTAAGTGAATGTGTGGTGGGTGAGTTAAAAATGTGCCTGCTTACTTGCAGAGCTTCTTCCATTAGGTGAATAATCTGCTGTTATTTTAATGTATAAGACCTTTGGTAATGTGAGGAATCGATTAGATAGTGCAGTCCAGTCTCTAGAGGATCAGGTCTGTGGGATTGGTTGGGGTGGTTGGGCAAAGTCCATGGTAAGTTAAGAAGTGACTTTGGAAGTGACTCTAATGTGTACACAAACAACACACATGCACACACCACACATACATGCACACACACACATGAACACATACATCCATGCTGCATATACACACACAGGCCTATACACACTGTAATATGTACACAACACACATGCACACACCACACATACATACACACATGAGCACATACCTCCATGCCACATACACACACACAGGCACACACACCCCCACACCACATATGCAGGCACATATACTACACACACACACACCCCCACACACAGGCACAGTTGCATATAAACACACAAATGTACACACCCTCACACCACATATGCACATACACATATATACACCACACATATTCACAGTCACATACACAAACACACGTGTATACAATTAATAGTATAGTCTTAAAGTCATTATGTTGGTTAAGAAAATATTTCCTGAACACCTGTTTGCTGAGTTTTAAAGACTGTCCTCATGCCATTTGATTTTGCTTAGACCTTAGATAACAAGTTACACTAAAAGTACTATATCCATCAACTCTGAAAGTGCTATATGTTTATGTATGGAGACCAGTTAATCAATGTAGTTATTTTTGATGTTTCAGATATTGGCAAAACACTTGAATGATGGTAAAATCAATCAGCTTCCTCTTTTCCTTGGAGAGCCTGCTATGGTAAGTATTAGTTATTTTCCAGGCTAATATTCTTGTATTTATGGATGTCATCAGCACTTCTCTAAAATGAAATTAATTTTGGCTTGTGGTTTGCTCAAGAAAAACACTTCTGAACCATTCCTGTGCTGTCTCAGCTTCAGCCACCAATCAGCTGATGTTTGCCAAGCTGTCACTCCTTAAATGTCTTTTTTAAAGGCCTGATAATTTAGGTGCCCTGTCCCTAAGCAAAATTTGAATTTGTTTTTTACATGTATTTGTGCTGTAGAACGGACATGTATTTGTGCCTTGTTAAATGCAACCGTTAGGCCGGGAGTACAGGCTCACGCCTGTAATCCCAACACTTTTGGAGGCCAAGGCGGGCAGATCACAAGATCAGGAGTTTGAGACCAGTCTGGCCAATATGTTGAAACCCTGTCTCTACTAAAAATACAAAAATTAGCTGGGTGCGGTGGCGGGCACCTATAGTCCCAGCTACTCAGAAGACTGAGGCAAGGAGAATGGCTTGAACCCAGGAGGCGGAGGTTGCAGTGAGCTGAGATTGTGCCACTGCACTCTAGCCTGGGTAACAGAGCAAGACTCCATATCAAAAAAAAGCAACAGTCAAATGTGAGTAATAAGATTGAGTATTGGATGAAAAGAGAATGATTAATTGTTTAAGGCCATCTATCCTTTTTTTTATATATTTTATGAAGATATTTCAGTGACTAATTTGGATTACAATAGGTGTTTGACATCCATTCCTTCTAACAGTCAGGCCACCTAGGATCATGCTCGTGGTCTGTGACTTTAGACTCTGTGCTCTGTGGACGTCCATTTCTGCCATCAAAAAGTGAGACGATTGAACTAGTTTAATGTTCTTTCCACCTTGAGTCTCTGTGACTCTTCTGACCAGTGGCAGTTTGCCAAGGGCAGCAGTTTTCTGACCTCTTTTCCCTATAACCTGTGGGAGAGGCCCTGGACTTGTGTCGTAAGAAGCAATAGGCTTTCGAAGGTGAAAGAGCAGATGAGAAAGTGCGGGGGCTGTACTCACACAAGCAAGAGCCATGATTTCTTTTATTGCCTTGGAAAAGCTCATTTGCAGATGTTCACACTCAGTTCCCTTCCTTGGAGGAAGGTGAAAACAAGAAAGACTAGAATTTGATGAGACTCCAGTACCACCTGGGCAGCTCTGCCTTTCCCCACAGCCTCTCCAGCTCCCTGCTCTGTCCCGTGGGTGTAGGAGAACAGCTTTCCCCAGCAGGGTCCCACCCAGGGCTTCAGAGGACTTGATGGATTCACTCTTTCTTTCTGTTAGCAACACCAGGCATGGCTGTCTGCTGCGGATACTAACAAAATATTTTCTCTGTTTAATTTCTGAAAGGAATTTCTCTGGGATTTCCTGAACCATCAGGAGGGTCCCCGCATAAGAGATCATTTAAGCCACGGGGAGATCAACTTACATGAATTTTCAAAAGAAACAACTAATCAATTGCTTGCATTTTCTGTTGTGCTGTTACTCAGATTCGTTGATGAAGGTCTGCTATCAGTTTTTAAGGTAATTTATAGGGAAGAAAATCATTAATTAGATTTAACTCATTCAGCTATGAAAGAATATAGTTTATTTTTCAAATGTAATTAACTATTAATCATCTTTTAATATATCTGAGTTACCGTATCCTCCATCAGAGAAAAAAGTGATTGGATTACATGTATGTTTATATTCTGTATCACAGATCAATCAATATTAATCTCAGCTAAAATAATTTAACTTGTTTCTTAAAAACACATTTGCTTTTGTATGTAACAGTAGCTAAGTATTGAAAATAAAAGAACAAATTATAAAATAGGATTAACCAAATATTAGGAAATTTTTACAGATGTTTGCTAAATCGATAGGGTAGGATATTTGCATCAATAAACTAATTCTTTTGTTATTTCAAAGTAATTTAGGTTAGAACATTTGTTATTGATATTTTAATCTTTTTTTCAGATTATACATGTGACAGTTATTTTAAAAATTTTTTAAATGTTCGAAAAATTACTGGAAATAGAAAAATTAATGTGAAAAGTAATAGCCCTCAGGAATTCCATCTCCCAGAAATAACTACTATTAATAATTAGGTAGTGTTGCTACCACATTTTTGCTATGACTGTACCAAAGTGAGTTCGTAGGAAGGTACATTATGTTTTATAGCTAGCATTTTTCATTAACAATGTGTTTTTGGCATCTTTGTTCTGCCTTATTCTTTTTGTCAGCTGTTTGATATTCCATTTTATCAATATGTTATTATTTACCTAAGCAGTCCTTCATTGATGAATGAGTTGTAATATTCCCTGATGTAGAAAATTCCTAATTATTACGCTGAAATGAACATCTTTGTTCATTTGGGCACTTATGTAAATATCTTAGAAAGTAAAGTTCTAAGACAAAAGATACCAGTAAGGATTTTTTTTTTTTATTCTTTTATTTTATTTATATATTTATTTTTTATGAGACAGGGTCTCGCTCTGTCGCCCAGGCTGGAGTGGCAGTGGTGCAATCATGACTCATGGCCCATGGCAGTCTCGACCTCCTGGGCTCAAGCCATCCTCTTACCTCAGCCTCCTGAGTAGCTGGGACCACAGGCACAAGCCATCATATCCAGCCAAGATTATGTTTTTATTTTCATTTCTTTTTTTGTGTTTACTAGATGTTTATAATTCTCTCATTAATTGCTTATTAATGTATTTTCTCCATTTATTTCAGTTTTATTTTTCCCATTGGTCCATTAGCCTTCTTTGTGTACATATTGCTTTGTTATTTGTTCATAGGTTTTGATTTTTTTTTCTCTTTGGCTTCACATTTGGAGTCATTCTGAAAAGAATCTTTGCTTTTCAAAATTAAAAATATATGTATACATTTTCTCTGGTACTTCTATTTTTTCTTTTTTCTTTTCTTTCTTTTTTTTTCGAGACGAAGTCTTGCTCTGTCACCCAGGCTGGAGTGCAGTAGCGCGATCTCAGCTCACTGCAACCTCTGCCTCCCGGGTTCAAGCAATTCTCTGCCTCAGCCTCCCGAGTAGCTGGGATGACAGGTGCCCACCACCACTCCCGGCTAAATTTTTTGTATTTTTATTAGAGGCGGGGTTTCATCATGTTGGCCAGACTAGTCTTGAACTCCTGACCTTGTGATCCACCTGCCTCGGCCTCCCAAAGTGCTGGGATTACAGGCATGAACCACCGCGCCCTACCTATTTTTTCTTTATTTTCCATTTACATCTTTTGATCCAATTGGAATTTATTTCATCTTGAGAGTAAGGTACAGAGTCTAGCTTTACTTTAAAAAGAATTAATAGTTATTATTCTGTGGAAACTTGGACAAACATAAAACCCCAAAAACAAATAAGAATGAGCACCTCATGGATTGAGTTAGGGATAATTGACATTTTTCACAATATTGAAGCTTATTCAGGGACACAGTGTCTCCCCATCTTCATTCCTCAAGTCCTCCCACCTACGCGGCACCTCCAGCCTCCCAGGTGGCTGCTCAGGCTGGAAGCCTCAGATTCCTCTCCTCTCTTCATACTCAGTCCTTGGAACAGGTCTTACAAATATGTTCCACAGTCTGGGCGCAGTGGCTTACGCCTGTAATCCCAGCACTTTGGGAGGCTGAGGCGGGCAGATCACCTGAGATCAGAAGTTCGAGACCAGCCTGGCCAACATGGTGAAACCCTGTCTATACTAAAAATTCAAAAATTAGCTGGACGTGGTGGCAGGCACCTGTAGTCCTGAGAATAGCTTGAACATGGAAAGTAGATGTTGTAGTGAGCCGAGATTGTGCCACTGCACTCCAGCCTGAATGACATAGCAAGACTCTGTCTCAGAAAAATAAAAAAAGAGAAAAAACAAAAAAGAAATATGTTCCACATCTGCTACTCCCTGTCCCTCCTGTGCCACCACCTGGCCACACCACCTTGGCCCCTCCCTGGAATGTCGCAGGCACTGACTGGTCTGCCCACCGACTTCTGCGAACCCTTCACTTTGTCATAACACAGCAGCCAGACTGATCCTTTTCCCAACATGTCATCGTCTCCTCAGAAGCCGTTGGGTGGGTTCACATCTTGGAACAGAAGCCAGGTGCTCTGCAGTGGCACAGATACACCGCTCTGTAGTGGGATACATATGCTGCTCTGCAGTGGCACACATATGCTGCTCTGTAGTGGGATACATATGCTGCTCTGTAGTGGCACACATATGCTGCGTGTGGGTCTGCCCTGTGGGGACGTCACCCGTGCAGGCACATGTGTGTGCCTCCCGTGTTCCGCCCAGCACACTCCCTGGTGCACTCCAGGCTCTCACGCATCTGAGTGAAGGGAAGGCCAGCACATTTCTTCTGTAGTTAACATCTAGCTACTTGAATTGCTTGTTTTGTGCTTTTAAGAATTGTAGGTAGTGGGCCGGGTGCAGTGGCTCACACCTGTAATCCCAGCACTTTGGGAGGCCAAGGCAGGTGGGTTACCTGAGGTCTGGAGTTTGAGACCAGTGTGGCCAAATATGATGAAACCCTGTCTCTAATAAAAATACAAAAAAATTAGCCGGACGTGGTGGTGGGTGCCTATAATCCCAGCTACTCAGGAAGCTGAGGCTGGAGAATCGCTTGAACCTGGGAGGCAGAGGGTGCAGTAAGCCGAGATCACACCAGTGCACTCCAACCTGGGTAAAAAGAGTAAGACTCTGTCTCAAAAAAAAAAAAAAAAAAAAAAAAGGAAAGAAAAAAGAATTGTAGGTTTTTTAATTTGTCAACTGTCAATTCACTGACTTTCTTTCTCGTAGGTTTTAGTTGACTGACTTGGATTTTTAAGTTATATGGTTATATCAACTTCAAATAATGTAATTTTTATGCTTTTAGAAATATGTGTATGCTTAGCAATTAAATGATTATGTGATCTTTTTATAGTTATATTGATTTTTAGTGTTTAAGTAACTATTTCTTAGTTAAATTTCCAATTGTTTGGAATCTTTTTTTCTTATTCATCTCCAGTTTTGTGCACAGAGGGTGGGTGTGGCATTTGTGATCTGTTATTGTTAATGGCCTCCATTTAAAATCATTTTATTGGCTGTGATTTGCCTGCCATGTCAATCCTATTTTAATGAAGCCTTTGCTTTTCAAGCTGCATGGAATTATTTGAAGAAAGACAATGAGAAATGGGGACTCTAAGTGGCCTACAGTTCAATAGAAGAAAGCTAAGAGCCTACCCAAATACAATTGTAACCACTATTTTCTCTAAACTAGGAAAAAGCATCAGTAGAATTGTTGATTAGTCTTGCGGAAGGCTATAGTTCTCGCTGCCATCCAGTTTTTCAGCTTAAGAAACAGGTATGCTGAATGCAGGGTGCTGGGAGGGGTGTGTACATCTCTGAAACCACCTGTCTTTTGCAGAGATGCTGGAAGGGTGCAGTTTGTCTGCTAAGGCAGAATTTGAGTTGGGCAGATCCAGCTTTCCATCCGGCGTGGCGCTTGCTGTGGCCCTGGCCTGGTTGCTCAGTCTTCTGAGCCTCAAGTTCCGTGTCTAGCAGTTGAAAGTAATGCAGTGCTGCTGATGGCACTGAGGTTTTTAGTGTTAAATGGATGAGCACTGGGAAGTGTTTTTGCTGAATCCCCTGGCAGGCTTTTATTGCTGTAGGCAGTAACGCAGAGCTGGGAGCAGTTTTTATTTGTCAGTGGTGAGTAATGTCAGTTTTTCTTCTCCTACACGGACTAGCTTTTGTTAACTTACTGAAACAAACAATTTTTTAAGCATTTCTGCCAGGAAGTTCCAATTTGGCAATCAGCGAAGGTGTTTTATTCTACATACGGGAGGATACAAGGGTAGTGCAAGGGGATGAAAGAGACAGTCCCCAAGAATATAAGCATCGTGACAGCTGTGCAGGTGAAAATTCACAAATGAGACTACCTCTAAAACGAAGCTGTAAAATCAGCACACAGCGGGTCAGGAGAGATTTGCAAAGGTGCTTTAAAGAAATGGTGCCTTGAGAAGTCGGAGGCCTCCTTGAGAATGCCTTCAGGAAAATACTGTCAGAAGGGGGTTGTCAGCAGTGAAGTTGGGAAAACAGCCTCCTGGAGGTGTGGCTTGGAGGCAGAGCATCGGGCTGCACTGGTCGGATGCCATTCCCCGTTGGCACTGCAGATCAGCTTTACCAGTGGGGATTGCTGTGCTTTCCAAGTGCAAGCCCTTAGGAACGTAGAGGTGGGCAGGTAGGGAGGAGGGAAGATTTAGGAAGGAAGAGGAGCTTCAAGAAGGCAGCCTTTGTCTTCCAACCACAGCTGCTGAGGCTCCAGACCATCCTCTCCCGTGCCCCACGGTGGCTATTTTGGGTCCTTACCACTTCCTGTCCCCCTCCTGGCATCTCACTAAGGTATTCAGGCAGCTTTGCATCCTTGGCTTCGGTTATTCCTGCTGTTGAGACCACTCACACTCCGTGGTGTCAGCAGCCACTGTTTGACTTGCTCATATGCTAGTGGGTGAGAAATGGGGAGCATCTGCTGAGGGATTTGTCCTGTGGCCTGGCCTCAGTGTGGATGGCGGTGGTGCCCCAGGGCTTCGTGGGTGTCGCATCTGAGAAGACTGGAAGTTGGCCAGAGGCCTCATGGGGGTCCTGCAGGGACAGTCCCAAGGTGACAGCGGCTGCACCCCGAGTGCAGCCTGAACCGAAGAGGCACCTGCACCTCTGACATGGCTTTGGATAACACGCAGCATCTTCACACCTGCTGTGTTCTGTTGGTTCCAGGCCAGTCACCAGAGTTCATGCAGATTTGGTGGGGTCCTCCCTCTCAATGGCAGGTGTCGAAAGAACCTGTGGATATGGTCATAGCCACCCCAGACGTTCACTCCCTACCAATCCCCTGGTAGTTTCCCCAGCCTTCCCCCATCTGAATGTACTGAAGAACTGACACCCGCCCTCTGGTTTTAAAATGTTTAGAATTTGTAATAATTTTATAGATACGTATTTTCTAGAGAGTGATGTAACATCCATAACAATCTAAAAACAGATTTTCTAGGAAGTTACCGTGAAATCTACAAAGTCAATAAAACATTTCATCGCAGGTGCTGAGCTGTGAGGAGAGTATCAGGGTTTGGGCTCTGCTGCCTTTCCCCAAAGAACTCATTTGGGAAGCAGTCAGGTACGTGGCATCCTGGGGCCTGGCTGACCTCAAGCTTGTCTGGTACTGTTAGTTTCAGCAGCATTTCTTCTTTAGCGAGGCTGTTGGAAGATAAAAGGGGAAGGAGGAATTTCTGGGCCTTGGTGGCTGTGAGGAGCTGCAAGTGATGCTGAACGCGATCTTCCAGCTGGCCTGGGGCCCTGGTGGAGACTGAACATGGAACGAGAGGCAGGTTTTGTGGGTAGACAATGGCGTCCATGAGAACTACTGAGTAGGCAGAAAGAAAGATGGGTCTGAAGCTCAGGAGAGAAGTGGGGATGGAGGCATGCATTCTGGAATCGTAGACAACAGCAGACATACTTGTTCAGCAGGAGGAATACGCAGGTGGTTCGTCGTCTCGTCATCAGTCATCATTGGACTTTGCTTTTGGCATAGGGCATCGTTTCTTTCTCCACTGTCCCATGATGGTGGCTTTTTACATTTTATATTTGGGGAAACTAAGATTCACAGTCAGGTTGCTGCTCAGTGAACCATTAAACATTATTGCGCATGGGCACTAATGTGGGCATTTTAATTGTCATGTATCTTTAAATATTTTCTATTTTTCAGATTAGAAGATAATTCTGAAACAAATGCCTGCCACTCTTTAATTACAAAAATGATGGATGAGCTGTATCACCATATGCCTGAGGATCATTGTGTTTTAAAGGACTTGGATCATCTTCCTACTGAGACGTAAGTTCCAGGACATCCTGACAACTGTTGACACATTGATTTTGCAGATTAGCATAGCAAACTTAGACATTTTCTGTTTTAGATTTTATAAAGTAGTCTTAGAATCCCACTGTTACTACTCCAAGAGGAATTATGAGATCAGTTTTGACAATCTCTGTGCAAGCGTGGCACATCTGATGAGGCTGTGAATGTCACATTCTGTTTGCCACAATTCAGTGTATTTAATTAACACTTGCCGCATGTCACGGTTGTCCCTGCAGACCCACCAGTGATACGCAGCTAGCCCTGGCTCCCAGAAAGCCGCAGCCTTGCAGGTACAAAAGGAGAGTGAGGTACAGGTGAGGATCACAATGCCTCCTCCAAGTCTGGCTCTATTTGCAGGTGGCCCCAGCTGCTCCGTGAGCTCTGCAGCACACCTGTTCGTACCCTGTTCTGCCCCAGGATCGTGCTGGAAGTGCTGGTTGTGCTCCGAAGCATCGGCAAGCAGTGCCACCGCGTGTCTGGCCAGGTCACCATTGCCTCGGAGCTGAGACACAGGCAGTGGGTGGAGAGGACGCTGCGGTCTCGCCAGCGGCAGAACTACCTGCGTATGTGGAGTAGGTGCGCGCTCACTTTCCTGTTTTGGAGGGGCACTGTGGGGCAGGAAGTTGTCACAGATGCAGTTCCAGTCCCTACTGAAGACACAGTAGGCCCCTCACTGAACCCCATCGACAGGTGTTGATATACTTCTAGTTCACAATTGATAGTGTGAACCCAACATATCTGAGACAGGTCTCAATCCTTTTAGAAAGTTTACTTTCCCAGGGTTAAGGACGTGCTGTGATAGCCTCAGGAGGTCCTGATGGCATCTGCCCCAGGTACTTGGGATGCAGCTTGCTTTTATACATTTTTATACATTTTAATTAGACATAAGACGTCAGTCAGTAGGTGTGAGGTGTACATTGGTTCCATCTGGAAAGGCAGGTGGGGGCCTTCCAGGTTATAGGTGGACAAGAGACAAAGGATTCCATTGTTTTGAGTCTTTGATGAGGCTTTTGGTGAATACACAATTGACTTGTGAGTGGGGGTAGAGGAATAGTGACTTACACCTTAGTGTGGCTCAGTGAAGTTGCATTTTACACAGGGCAGAGGAAGCAATCATATAGGTATTTGTCTCAGGTGAGCTGAGGGATGACGCCCTGTCCCACACCTGGGAAGATCAGCTGGCAACTGCATTGCCAGGGTGAAATTCAGCAGAAGTCTTTCCGGGTAGAGATCTTGAGGCCCACGAGGCATTTCCTTGTGGACAAACTGTGAGGGAGGTCTGTACGGAGCTTTTTTCTCTTCCTAGCAACCTTATTTAGGAATAAAATGGGAGGCAGGTTTGCCTGAGGCAGTTCCCAGCTTGACTTTTCCCTTTGGCTTAGTGAGTTTGGGGTACTGAGATTTATTTTCCTTGCACGATGGAAACAAAAGTTAAGTTCCCACAGCATGTTTCTGGTCATAAAAATATTACCAAACTTCTAAAGAAAGACCCAAAACACTTACAGTGTTAAACATTGAGGCATATATGAGCTCTATGGACATTTAAGAAAGATGAATAAAAACAAGTGAGAACTACTCACTGTTTGGCGAGGCAGTGAGTGACGGCAGTCCTGTGGTGGTTAAATGAGGCAGTAAATGTTTGCAGAGCGAGACCTCCCCAGGCCCGCCCCCTTCCCCCCACCCACAGCTCCAGCACCAACAGGAACAAACGTGGGTCACTGAGCACTTTTGTACCGGCACGCACTGTCGAGCACTTGTATGATGATGGTAGACTTTACAAGTTCTTATAATTTGTATTCATTCATTCATTCATTTTCCAACCTGCTTATTCCAGTTCAGAGTTGTTCAGAGTTGTGGGTGGCTGGAGCCTATCCAAGCAGCTCCGGGTACAAGGCAGGACCCACCCCGGACAGGACGTGGTTCCTTCGCAGGGCCAGTCACACACCCACACTCACTCTGGGACCATGGAGATACGCCAGTTCACCTAATGTGCACGGCTCTGGGATGTGGGAGGAAACTGGGGGATGGGAGAAAACCCATGCAGAACATGCTTCTCCACACAGACCATGGCCCTCACGGTGTATCGATTTCTTTTCTCACTGATGTTGTGATGAAACGGTGTTGAATGAAATGATGTTACCTGAGGACTGTGAGGACTCCCCATGCTGATTTTCATAGAAAGTTATAGTACATACTATTTTAAATAGTGTTTGTAATTTGGGCCTGTGGAAATGTGGGTTCTATCTACCTAAATGAATATTTGGATTTAAAGTATAACAGCAGATTAACTGGATTTGGATTTAAAATATAACAGCAGATTAACTTAATAGCAGATTAACAGCATTATGGTTTCTTCACTTACAGTGTATATTTTAGAATGTGCTACATCCTTAAGAAATGACCATTTGGGATACATTTCTAGAACTTTTGGGTTGAGTGGTATCTGTGTTTTTAAAGCTTTAAATAGATATGGCTGGATTCCCCTCCAGAAAGGTGCTACTCAATTTACATTCTTACCAGCAGTTTATAAGACAAGGTCATTCTCTTATTAACACTCTCCAAAACCAGAATATTTTTAAATGTCTCAACTAGTTTCATGGGAAAAATAAGATCTTACTTTAGTTGGGATTTCTTTTTTTTTTTTTTTTTTTTTTTTTGAGACGGAGTCTCACTCTGTCGCCCAGGCTGGAGTGCAGTGGCCAGATCTCAGCTCACTGCAAGCTCCGCCTCCCGGGTTTACGCCATTCTCCTGCCTCAGCCTCCCGAGTAGCTGGGACTACAGGTGCCCGCCACCTCGCCCGGCTAGTTTTTTGTATTTTTTAGTAGAGATGGGGTTTCACCGTGTTAGCCAGGATGGTCTCGATCTCCTGACCTCGTGATCCGCCCATCTCGGCCTCCCAAAGTGCTGGGATTACAGGCTTGAGCCACCGTGCCCGGCCGGGATTTCTTTAATCTAGTGGCATTGAGCCCGCTTTCGTATTGAGGCCATTTGTTTTCCTCTGGTGAGAGTTCCTCCCTAGATGTCAGAGGGCAGGGAGCCGGGGAGCTGCTTGGTGCAGACTGGGCCTGCCTGGTGCCCTGTGGGCGTGCAGAGCCCCTGGCAGCTCTGACCGTCAGATGTCTGAGAGTCTCAGATGATGACTGAGAGCAAGGAATGCGGACGTGCAGGATGGGCCGGGAGCAAGGGCTACACTGGGCACTCCCGCCAGCCACGGGCCTGGGGGCTAGAAGCAGGCATTGGGCTCTGAGGATTAGGAAAATTATTTTTTGAGAAGTTGGGACTTAAGGATATTGATTAGGTGAAACATCTTTTTCCTGATGAAGGTGGAAAGTACCAACGTTCCTCACGTTTGAATTTACTTTCATCTGTTTTTAGTATCAGACTACTGTCCCCTGTGCTCAGCCTTATCCTGTTCCTCATTACGCTGGAGTTGGTCAATGTTCATGCTGTTTGTGGGAAGAATGCGCATGAGTATCAGCAGTACCTAAAGTGAGTATGTCCCACTTCTCTGTAGTCACATTGCATCGTGGGCCAGATTGGGGGTGAGCCTGTAGGAGTGAGACTGGGGCAGCATGAGGGCCACCATCTCCTTGGTGGCCCCACCGCCGTCTCAGGCAAGGGTCTGACATCTGGCCTGCAACAACTCCCACATCCAAATGTCTCAAAACCACGTTTTGTTTGTTTGTTTTTCGGAGACAGAGTCTTGTTCTGTTGCCCAGGCTGGAGTGCAGTGGCATAATCACGGCTCACTGCAGCATCGACCTCCCAGGCTCAGGTGATCCCCCCACCCCAGCCCCTGAGTAGCTGGGAACACAGCCATGCCACTGTACCTGGCTAATTTTTGAATGATTTTGTAGAGATGAAGTCTCACTGTGTTGCCCTTCAGGGATCATCCCACCTTGGCCTCCCAAAGTACTGGGATTAGAGGTGTAAAAGCCACTGTGCCCAGCGGAAAACCAAATTAGCGTATGTAACTAATAGTTTCAAATTCGGGAAGTCCACTTTTAAGACCATCCCGATCTGGGAGTCTGAAGTAGTGTGACACTTGTGTGACCCACTTTACATCCAGAGATTCCAAACCAAGGAGGCTTCTGGGCAGCGGTGACACAAGCTGTCATCTGGCTGAGTGCAGCTCCGGCTCCAGCCTCCCTTGGCTGCCAGGAGTTCTGGGTATCTTGTTGGTTTTAAGCCAAAGTTTTGCAGGTGCCAGGCACCTCAGTACACATTTCAGTGAACGTGAAAATACAACTGGGGTGTCTTGTGGAAAGAAGCATAGACTCCTGCTGAGAGTGAGGGGAGCAAACATGCAGACTGTTAGCAGCTGAGGACTCCAGCTCAGTGTGCCCCATGCTTGGCACTGCTGGTATTGTGGGGCTGGTGCAGGACTGCCCTGCTCATTGTAGGACGTTCAGTAGCAGCCCTGCCTCTACCCACAAAATACCAATGGCACCCCTACCCTCCGCATGACAGTCAAAAGTGCCCTAGACATTGCCAGATATCCCCTGGGGGACAAAATCACCCCAGTAGAGAACCCTTCTCTAGACAAAGTGTTCTGTGGCTTTTCATTATATTATCCTTTTAACTTCTCTTTAAGTTTGAATATTTTCAAGATAAAATGTTGGTGAAACTACCTGGCAATCATGGAAAAAGTAAAGATGACATTTATTGTCATCAGTCAGAGTGACCCCACTGTTAACATTTTGACAAATATCTTAAGTAAAATCTCTTTAACAGCAACAGCTGTCTCAGTGGCACGCATCTCCTCTGAGCCAGCCCCTCCATCATGGGGGATGGAAGCTGGATGTGTGAGGAGGGGGAGGGCACGCTGCCCAAGAGGCTCCTGACAGGGCTAAAAGGCCTGCTTGTCATTGCAGCCGACCCCTGAACAACGCAGGTTAAAAGGCCTGCTTGTCATTGCAGCCGACCCCTGAACAACGCAGGTTAAAAGGTCTGCTTGTCATTGCAGCCGACCCCTGAACAATGCAGGGGTGCACTGCCCAGGTCCACTTGTCCAGGAAGCTTTTTCAGTAAATACAGTTGGTCCTCTGTATCAGCAGGCTCTGCGTTCCATGCAAGCACAGATTGAAATTGCTGTGGTCTTGGTTGCAAACATCAATGTGGGAAAAAAACAGAACACAAAAATCTCATGGTGAAACCCGCATGTTCAGGGAGCTGATTTTTCACGCTGGACTTGAGTATGCTTGGATTTTGGTATCCAATGGATGACTGTGTGTTGTGTGTTTATTTTGTGTTGTGTGTTTATTATGTGTTAAGTGTCAGTTTGGTGCAGATGACCCTTAAGTTCCTTCCTGGAATGACGGCCGTCATGTCCGGGCTGGAGAAGAATGTCTGAAAAGGTGCTTGTGTTGGAGCCTGTCCAAGTGTCCAGTAGCATTTACGTTTCAGTATTTTTCTCTTTCCTCTCATTTGTATTCTCTTATTTTTGTTTTATTGGATTTATTTTTCTTGAATCCTCAGACATAAATTAAGTGCAATTTAGGAATAATTCCAAGAATGAAGAGAAGACATTTAATTCATTGTTTGATTTTATAGTGGAATGGATAAAGAAATTAATTTTTTTTTTTACAGGTTTGTAAAGTCGATCTTGCAGTACACTGAGAACCTGGTGGCTTATACCAGTTACGAAAAGAACAAGTGGAATGAAACTATCAATCTTACACATACAGTTTTATTGAAAATTTGGACTTTTAGTGAGAAGAAACAAATGTTAATACATTTAGCCAAGAAATCCACAAGTAAAGTACTCATGAAAACCTATAAGTCAGGATGCCTTTAATTTTAACAGATTTTAACAGTGTGCAAATTGAAAACCCAAAGAGGTAGGGTGGAGTTGAGGGTCTGCTTGACCAGGGTCCAGGTTCTGTTTCTCTGCAGTGTTCTGATTTACCCTTTCCAAGTGGTCAATGTGAGTCTCAGTCTGGCTTCCTTTGTGGTAACCAAATGGCTGCTGTAGTTTTTGGTTCCATCTCTCCATAACACACTGTCCAGAGGAAGAAGGGAGAGCTGCTTTCACCCAACTGTTACTCAGAAAGGTGTAGTTCCATTGTTACTGGCCACATGCCTACTCTTGAGAACGATTGCTGTGGCTGGGACCTTCCCCTGCATTCACCGGCCAGGCCTTGGGAGACGTTGACTCCCGGACCAGCCATCAGGGCAGGGAGGGTGAGGCCCTGGGACTGAGGAGAGAACCAATAAATTTAAGCTTCCCAGGTCAGTGCTGGAGACCAGCTCCTAAAAGGGGAGGTGGGCAGGCATGGGTGCTGGACAGCAGGCCTCCTGGCCAGCGTTTGGCAAAACTAGCAGAAGCCTTTCCCTGTTTTTAGATGTGGGGGTTTCACATCCCAGGGTCTGGGAGAGCTGGGGGAAAGGAGATTAGGGAAGCTGCTCTTCACAGGCCCTGCTTGACGAACCCAAGTCTCTGGCTCGAGGGTTCCTGCAGCCGCTGCAGCTCTCGAGGGTGCCTGAGAGCCCCCACTGTCTGAGTTGGCAGCTGCAAAGCTGGGGCTCTGCGGAAGCCTCTGGGCAGCCACCCTGACCTCATGTCTGCTTGGGCATGGGCCACCCTGCCCCACCCTCCGTGAATCACTGCTTCTCTTTTTCCACCTTCCAGACCTTGACAGGGTGCAGCTGGCAGCCATCGAAGGACTGGCATTCTGAGGCTGCTTCAGCTGAGGAGACCTGGGGGCCATGGGTGGCAGCAGAGCTGAACACATGCTGTTTGTCCTCTGCTGGCTCAGCTCCGGCCCCTTGTGAACAACACCTCTGGGGAAGCGTGATGCTTCTGGCTAATGTGATACAACTCTCTCTTGTGCAATTGAAGACGGTTCCTCCTCTTCCCAAAAGTGGAGACACAAAGCACAAATCCCATGTGTCAGTATTCCCACTCTGGGACTGTTCTTTTATAGAGCCGTCACACCTTTCTCTGATACACTTGCATGTAGGGTGACTATAGGATTGACTATCCAGCTAATGGTGGTGCTGGGATGGGAAGAGGGAAAGAAAGAACTGACTGGTAGAGTTAGCTCGTAGATACCAGTGTATCTTACCAAAGCAGTGAGGAGACCACACAGAGCTGCTGCATGCCCTGTTTTTGCAACCTGATGATCTGGCAGAAGTTTGTGTTTGAAAATTCCTTTCCGCCACTGTTCCATGTTCCTTTCCTTTGCCTCTCTAGGTGGTGGTTTTTCACCTGCGGAGTTAACCCAGCCCTCATTCCTGAAAGGTCTTTCCCATTAGAAATCTTTCTTGTTTTGGGTAGCTGTAGGTTTCCATTGACTTGTCCCTGGACTTAGGAATACTAAGAGGTTCCCTAGATAATCTCCTAAATTCTAGACCCTCCTCCCAGCCCCCCAATCTGTGGTGGGAGCTGTATTTCCCCAAGACAATTGAGAACAGTCCCCTCGCCATAGCAGTAAACTCTTCTGACTCATTGGCACAAGGCATCCAGTGCGGCTGGGTGGCAGCCTCCACCTGCAGGGCAGTGGGCACCTCGTGTCCGTCTGTGGAAGCATCTGAGGAATGAAGACACCCAAACCAGCAGAGTCCAGAATTGTGAGTGGAGAATCCAAAACCTTGCTAGTTGTGCGGGGGCGTAATGAGAGGAGCCATTCCTGTTCCACGTGTGCCTCTACCCATGTTTTCTGGCCATGGGAGAATCCATTACCACTTGTTGACTGATGGCTCGGAGTGCAGGGCACGTCTTGGGCAACCCAGCAACCTTCAAGGGGGGCCTTATCACAGCCAGCACTGCCTGGTGCTTGGGAGGCTCCCCGAGGTAGTGGGGTGTGTGCCGGGATCACGATCGTCACAGGCCTCACTGCTGAGCTCTGCTGTCAGACAGGTCTCCTGGAAGCAGTACTGGAAGCAACTCGTGCAGCAGATGAGGCTTCTGTGAGCCAGGTGCAGTGGCCAAGAGGCGTCTCTGTCCCTCCCAGAACACATGGCCCGATGTACTTGGGGGCTGGCTCTTCTTTCCAGTTGAGTTTTTCATACTAGGAATTGTGTTGGTGTCTCCCATTAGCAGATTTATACATTTAGCAGTGGACCTTAGCCAGACTAGCCTTGGAGTGAGGACACCCATGTGGTTGAAGCCATTGACAACATCCTTCACTGCCTCCATGGCCACTTTGTTGATGAGAACATTGAGCAAGGCTGGGTGGCTGGAGAGAAAGGCTAACATGCATGAGGCAGCCATCGTGCCACCTGCCTACTGAGAGCATGGGCCCCCTCCCCTGCTGTTCTTTAGGGCCACTCAAATGGGTTAGAACGTTGCCAACTTTCACCTTCAAGTGGTGTCAGCTGTCAGCATCTTTTGCAGAAATCAAATCCAACTTTTAATTCGGGTGAGTGGTCCTAGGGAAGTCCCCGTGGGGCCAATAGGTGCATGGTGAGGGGTGCTGTCCATGCAGCTGTGGGCTCGAAGAGCGTCGGAACCACTTGCTTGTGTATCTTGTGCTCCAGAACATGCCAAAGCCTAACCTGTGTGTGTGTGCGTGTGCATGCATGTGCATGCATGCTTGTGTGTGTGTGTACACCTATATACCTATTAAATATATACATCTTGCCTGAATGTAATGATGACATGCTCCCGCAGTTGACTCACCTGGTGACGTGACAGGTCAGAACACGCAGTCTTTGGTGGTCCGCTCAAGTTCCAGCTAGCTGTCACTAGCTGTGCCATGGTGAAGTATATATGTTCAGTGTCCATCAGGCCCTAGAGGACAAGCTGAGAGCTGGTTCTCAGAAGAGCAATTATCTGCAGAGGAGGGTGTGGTTTTGTCCCAGAACCCTAGGGGTCTGTGCTCTGGGCCTGTCTGTGACTCTGCCAGGCATCATGGGATCTAATTGCCACCGTGGCCCAACGGGGAGACCAGCTTTTACATCTACCTGCTCTGGAGGCTTTGCTCTTTCTAGGCCTCATGTGGAACTGGCAGTTTGTAGGTTAATTGGAAAGTGAGCAGAGTAGCGTGTGTGGCCTGGTGGATGTTGCTTGCAGAGCTTCAGAGAGACTCAGAGTGCCTGCCCGTCTCTAGTGCCGGTGGACGTGGGCACAGCACCCTGTCCTCCCCCTCACAGAGTGCATCCATACCTTCCTAGATCACGGGCCCCAGAAGCTTCAAAGCAGCAGCCCTGTGCATTCTTACGAGAGTTACATCCCAGCCCAGGTGGTCATAATTTCACCAAAACAGTGGGGTGTCTTGTTTCCTGTCCACATCACTAATGTGATGGGCCATGGTGGCGTCCTGTGGAATGGCAAGACAGCCAGCAGCCCTGAGCTCTAGGTTGCATGGAGGAAGTGGAGAGGTAGCACAGCCCTGATGCACTCCCACCAAGGCTGCTGCTGTCCCTGCCAGATGAGAACAAGACAGCTTCTGGACATGAGATTGCAGGAGACAAAACCTCAACCTCTATCAGTAGGTACAGAGAAAAATCATCTGCCAGATCAGTGGCTGCAGACCAGAGATCTGGGACTATCTTGACTTGTTCCAATAAAGAGACCACATCTGAAGTAGCAGATGCTCAGGCTCCTGGGCCGGGGTCTTGTGTCCCTGGGAGGCTCTGCTGTCTTGAGCGATGGCTCTGTTCCCTGCAGGTGTGTGGGCAGCCATGCTGCTGGGCTACCTCACTTTCCCTTGGTATTCTTTCCCCAGTTGCCCATCCTGCTTCTGAGGGACACTTCCTTGGTCAGTTGCAATATATGTCCATTCAGGTTACAGTCACAACGTATATAGCTGCAATTTGTTGTTTTTCCTTAAACAGTGTTACATGTCTCTGCTCACAATTGAAGTAACTTAGAGTTTAACCCTTAAGAGGCAAATGTCCTCTGTTTTCACCTTCCTGAGGGATCCCGCCACATTGACCATCTTGCTAGCAGGGGTCACAGGTGTAACAAGAACGGATTTCTGCTGGCTGATGGTCCACGGTGTAGCGTGACTCGGGGAACCCAGGAACTCTGTGGCAAAGCTGCTTCAAATTCTCCTGCATGCTTGTTCTTTTCTTTCTGCCCTTTTTTCTTCTTTCTTTCCCTTCCTTCCTCTCCTTTTTCCTCTCCTTCCTTCCTTTCTTCCTCTTCCTCTTTCTCTCTCTCTCTTTTTTCCTTTCTCTCCCCCTCCCCTTCCCTTCATCACCTAGGCTGGTGTGCAGTGACACAATCATACCTCACTCCAGTCTCCAACTGGTGGGCTCCCATGCTTTTTCTTCCTTTCTCTCTTTCCTTTTTTTTTTTTTTTTTTTTTTTTTTTTTTTGGAGACAGAGTTTTGCTCTTGTTGCCCAGGTTAGAGTGCAGTGGTGCGATCTTGGCTCACTGCAACCTCTGCCTCCCGGGTTCAAGCAATTCTCCTGCCTCAGTCTCCTGAGTAGCTGGGATTACAGGCATGTGCCATCACACCCAGCTAATTTTGTATTTTTAGTAGAGATGGCGTTTCACCATGTTGGTCAGGCCAGTCTTGAACTTCTACCTCAAGTGATCTACCCACTTTAGCTTCCCAAAGTGCTGGGATTACATGCATGAACCACTGTGCCTGGCCTTTATTTTCTACCTCTGCTGGCTGGCTGAATACCTTGAGCAGACCAGAATTACTGGAGGCAAGGAAAAAATGGAAGATTAGCTAAATTTGTTTTCCATCAAAAGCAATGATGAAAATGCTTCTTTTCAAAGAGCAACAGCAAATATTGGTCCAAATTCACAAGTGTTCATCCGACAGGCCATATTGGAGAGTTAAGGTAGTTGTGCATGGTCCTGAGTGCACGGATATGGAATTTAGCTACAGGATGAATATTCTGCTTTCGTAAGCTGTTTTGATGAGATGTGAAGACGTGTTCTGAACAATATTAGAAGAATGCATCACCTTAGTATATTTGGCACCTGCCCTGCCCCTGACTTTTTCCTGAGTGAACAGGAGCCACCTCCCCTTTTAAATTAAATGATGGAATAGCCTGGCCTGTTCCAAATACTTGCTGCTGTCTCCTATGCTTGTTCCTCTGGGTCTCCAAGCATGTGGCTGAGAATCCATTTGGGACATCCATTCCCTGTCCCTGCCTGTGTCTATCATTAAACAAAGTGAAGATAGTCTGGTGTGACTGGCTTTCCAAACTCTTATTTGGATTCACTGTAATGTGGACTAAACAAATGGCTTAAAATTCACTGTTTGCAGACACCCCATCATCTGCTTCACTCAGTAGAGACATGACCTGCCCCTCGAAGCTCTGCTCATTCCACCACCTTTCTGACAGGCATGTGCACAGCTTCAGGAAGCTCTCTGAGGTGAGAAACCCTGCCGTTTTACCTGTTTGCATCCCCTCTTTGTGTCCTGAATATTTTTACTACCTTAAATGTGTGCTCTTTCCCCCACAACATTTGTTTTAAATAATCTTAAAGCTACAGAAATGTTTCTAGAATAGTCCAGTGGGTTCCCACATGACAATTCAACTGTCGTTGGCATTTTGCCACACTTATTTTCCCCTTTTAAGTGTACATTTGTCATTCTTCTGACTAAACCATTTTGAAAGTTAGTCATTGTGATATTTTGCCCCCAAATACTTGAGCATTATCCATTGAGAACAAAATCATTCCCCTTCAGTTACCACACGAAGGAAATTTAACAATAACACAGCACCATTATTGAATATATAGTCCATATAAAGTTTTTCCCAGTGTGTCTACTAATGTCATTTATACCTTCTGTTGTTTGTTTTTATCCAAGCACCGCAACTGCTTTTAGTTACTATATCTTTTATTTTTAAAATCTGGACTAGCTCACTTTTTGTTTTTTTCTTTCTATATCAGAGACATTTTTGAAGTATTTATGTCACCTTTACAGAATGTTGATCAAGTGGCTTTTGTTAGATTGTTTCCTCAAATTTGACAGTTTTAGAGAAACACTGCCTCCATGATATTGTCTGAACCAGTGCATCACATCAAGACACATGATTGACACAATAATGCTGTGTGCCACTCAGTGCATCACAGCAGGACACATGAGGCACATATGTGCTGCCATGCACTCCTCAGTGCATTACTGCAGGGCGTGTGGGCGGGGCCAGGTGTTGTCATGGTCCCAGCCAGTTGCTCTGCCCTCTAGAAAGTAGCTGGATGGGCGCTGGACACCTGCTCCACACAGCCTGGGCAGCAGCTGGAGATGATGCGGGGAGGGCTGCTCGGCTGGAGCTGGAAGGTGAGGAGGACAGGGCTGGGCTGGCCTCCTTGTGGAGATAGCAGGACCTGTCGAGGGAGAGTTAGGCCAGGGATGCAAAGCGTGAGGAGAAACTGCAGCCCCATGCATGGTCTCAGCTCCCTTTCTGAGGCCCCGTTGAGGTGAGTGCTTTCAACAAGCCCTCGAGGGAATCTCTGCTGCTTGCAGCCAAAAAGTACTGACCACTGGAAGAGCCAGCCCCTGCGATGGGACAGAGGCATGGCGGCCATCAGGAGGCAGGCAAACCCCAGAGAAGGAGGCCATGGATGTGGCAGTGGACGACTGGTGTGCGATCTCAGCACCACAGGTTACTGGTTTTGTGGCAAGATGTGGACCTGCTGACAGCTTGGCTTCCTCGTCTGCAGAGTGTGACAGTGACATTCCCTGCCTTATTAGACAGATGTTAGAATACAGTGAGGTGGGTGCTGAGCCCCATTCTGGACAAGTAGCATCGATGAACACCAGCTTTTACCGATCGTTCCCTTATGCTGGGAGGAAAGAAACGATTTGGATTTCGTCTGTCTAGAAGTCCAACTATCTGCATGTGTGTTCAGAGGACGTTCTGGTATCTCAGGAGTGAAACCAAAGCATCCCCTGTACATCTTTCCCCCACCCCCACTCATAGCTTCGGATTCTCTGCACAGCTTTAGGTAAAGGAGCTGATGGGGAATCGGATGCCTCACCCCGTGTCCTCACTCTGGGGCCCGAGCTTAGACTAACATCAGGTTCAGCTGAGAAGGCCTCTGAACTGTGACCCCACGCCGTGGCCGCCTGCGTCGAAGCTGCTACCTGCCCTTTGCCCTTCTCGAGGCCAGTGCTTGCCTGGAGGAGGGCTGGCAGCAGAAATGCAGCTGACCAGGTTGCATTTTCCGTACAGCCTACTCAAGAGGATACCCGTGGAGACTCATTTGTCGTTTCAGTTTTCGATGATTTGGTGGAGAAGCTCCTCTGGTGAATGGACTTGGGATTTCTTGGAGCTGCGCTGCGGGTCCACAGTGTGGCTTTCGGCCCGTGTTGCGGGGGTACTTGCACTTCCTCTGGCGGGGCACGGGGTGGCGCTCCCGGGTAAGGCAGCGGCCGGCGGAGCCGTGAGCGAGGCGCTGCCTCTCCGGCTGAAGCCAGATCCAAGGCCACCGTGAGGGGGACCCACCATCCAGGTAAGACGTGTTGTTTCCTTGTTCCTTGGCGAATCGATGGGGACCAGGCTTCCCCAGGCGGTGAAATGAGGAACAGGGACCGCAGGGCTCGCCTGACCAGTGGGGTCTCCATCCTTCTCTGTGTTGACAAAAGACAAGAACAGACATCGCATGAAATCTTCCCGCCTCCGTGAGGGAACCTGCGTCTGGGAAGGCGCTGCAGAGAAGTGATCGCTGAGTGAGGAAGGAGGTGCCGGGCCTCATTAATCATACCTCGGGAGGCAATGCCAGGAAGGTTCTTTGTTTAAAGAAATACTCATTTATTTTTTATTTTTTATTTTTTATTTAAGTTCTAGGGTACGTGTGCACAACGTGCAGGTTTGTTACATATGTACACATGTGCCATGTTGGTGTGCTGCAGCTGTTAACTCCTCATTTACAATAGGTATATCTCCTAATGCTCTCCCTCTCCCATCCCCCACCCCACAATAGGCCCTGGTGTGTGATATTCCCCTTCCTGGGTCCAAGTGATCTCATGGTTCAGCTCCCACCTATGAATGAGAACATGCCGCTGTTTGGTTTTCTGTTCTTTGGGTAGTTTGCTGAGTTTAAAGAGCACTTGGGTGCGGACTCGCTGTGGCCATCGCCTTCAACAGCTCATCTGTAGGAGGTGCAGGCTGAATTCACACCTCGGTGTCATCCATGTCTGCCTGCTGCAGAGGAGACAGGAGAAGTCCTCCTACCCACGGCTTGTACGGGAAGCTCTTCGCGTCGGCTAGAGGGGTGTGGTTTGGTTTATAGCCACACCAAGTCATTTTAATACAACTCAGTTCACTGCTTGTACGGAAGCTCTTCGCGTCGGCTAGAGGGGTGTGGTTTGGTTTATAGCCACACCAAGTCATTTTAATACAACTCAGTTCACTGTGTTGCCTTGCAGGCTCCGAGTGTTACAGGCAGACCCGAGTCCGAGTCTTCCTACCATTCACTGTCCCCTTCTGGATTTCTAGGGACCCCAGATACGATGGCATCAATGTCAGTTAACTTGGCATTGTTTAAAATAGATCTGTGATCAAATTTTAAGTTTTTCCAAATAAGACCCTGGATAAATGCAGGAAGGTCATTTGATTACTTTAAAATAAGAGTATTTTATGTTAAGTTTGAAAAAGCCAGTCATAAAACTAAGCCCTGTACCAATGAATATAGTTTGTGAAGCCAGCAGCACAGGCTTATTATTATAAATATCAAGCACCACCATTATGAGTAAGCTCATTTATTTTCAGATGAGCCTTTGCAATCATTAATTGTTCACGTCTGTGAATAGACAGTATTATTAACTCCATTTGAAAGGAAGAAAACTAAGGCACCGAAAACCCGTAATTCATTGCCCTGAGGGGAAAAGGAGACACTGGCAACACTGGCTGTCCTTTCGCTGCATCTTCTGTTTGGTAGAGATCCAGGGACATCCGGAACATCCACACTCTCTCTCCCACTCACGGTCATGCCACCATCTAGTGCCGCATTGACATTTCCTCTCAATCTCAGGATAATCACATCGATGTAGCACTTGGCAGGTTTGTTATCTCAATGTCTATTATCTCAAAAATTAATCCTCATAGCAACCTTAGAAAGAGGCAATATTAGCCCCATTGCATAGGAAAATGAAGGATCAGTGAGAAAGTGACAGGTCTGTCACTGGCGATGGAGGACAGGGCCATTGCGGTGAGTCAGGCCTCAGCTGCAGGTCTGAGTTTATGCCATTGCCCCCATCTGTGGGCTCCAGGAGGCTGTTGTCTAAGCAGAAGGCATGGCCCATCAGGGGCCATGGGTGGTGGGCACAGAATTGAGTCATCTGCCTGCCTTCCCACCCACCTGTGTGTGTTGTTTGTTTTATTTAAGTCCTGTGAGCGTAGTTTAGGACCTTGTCCCTTCCCACAGCATAGCACAGAAAATTGGGCAAGTCCAGACCATGATTAAATCCACTAAATCCACTTAAATCCACTTAAAAACCCCACCCCCCGAGACGGGCGGATTCTCTCCCTGTCCGCTTGAGATATGATGTTGCCTTAAACGGTCCAGCAGTCGCGGAATCTCAAGGGGTCTCTCTGCCTTAGTTGGTGCATTCCAGTGCTGCTGGGTTCGTATTTCCAGGTCTTGCTTTATCCTTTTATTTTTTAAAGTAATTGATAATTCCAATCTCTCTGGCCTGCATGAAATTTATAAAATAAATGGACATAATAGGAAATAAATATTTTGTGGAACCACCGCTATGTGGGAGACATTTTACTAGGGAAGCTGAGGATCCCACAGCTTCCAAGGACCAGTCCTGGCCTAGTGGAGCTCACAACATATTGAGAAGGGAGGACGGACACCGCTGACACAGTCCACGCTGCCCAGTGCCGGGTGCAGGAGGGGCAGTGGATGCAGGGGACTGAGGGCAGGGTGTGCTGGGCCTGGGCCCTGGCTCCGTTTGGGAGCCTCGCGGCTGCTCTGCTGTCTTCCTCCGTGCATGGCCTGGGCCACATTGTGTGCTGTGGAGTTGTTGGATCAGACCTGGATGCTGCAACCCAAGGAGAGAGAGGAGGACAGAGCCCGGGAGAAGAACAGCACTCGGCAGTCTGACCCCTAAAAACCAAATACAACAGAAACCAAGCCAATGGCAATGGTTGAGAAGAACCAAGCCAGCGTGTAGGGGAGGCCAGGGTTGTGCCCTGGGTATCCAGGGTGGAGGGACTCAAGGAAAGGAATGACCAGAAACACAGCTGGGGAGGCCCAGAAGGCCAGGGGCTCAGGGTGAACTGTCTCGGGGGTCCCAGGGGACTGACGGGGGAGTAAATCATCAGAGGTGGTCAGAGCCACAGATTCCTAGGGGACATGTGCTGTGGCTCAGGATGGAGAAAAGGTGGGCTGAGGTCCGGACGGTCGGTGCAGGCTGGTGCACGAAGGCGTCTGAAGGAAGAGAAACTTTATAGCCCATGTCCTGGAGGGGCCGCAGACAGGAAGCACCCGGTGCTGGAAACCACAAGCTGCTCCTTTTCATTGATGAAGAGGGGAGTGGGGAACATAGGGCGAATTTCAGAGTCTACTGTAAAGAAGAAAGATTTACCTGACGTGTGTCGCTGCATGGTCTGGGCAAAGCTAGGGGAGCTGGTTTTCGAGGAGTGAAGAGATAGGGTGGGGAGGGGGAGATCTGGACATGGGTTTGGGAAACATGAGGGGATCCAGCTGTGAGAGACCAGAGGCACCCTCAGGACAGTGGAGCCTGGTTCTTTACTCTGCAAATAAATCTCACTTTTCTACATCTCAACACATGAGGCGGCTCACCCCAGTTTCTTGTTCTTTCTCTAAGGGGGTTTGGCCTTCCATTGCCTCTAAATGGGGGAAAAGCTAATGGGGCTCACATCCATGGAGGGGAGTTCAGGATGAGGCTGGTGGTTCAGGCATCCTATGAGCCCGAGGGGAGGCCGCTGGCCTTGTGGTGCTTACGGAGACTTGCAGCGGCTGTGATCCACATTGAGGGTGAGAAACAAGATGTGAGGCTGCAGACGCCTGAGAGGCACTGTGGGGGCAGCACCCCACAGGCAGAGGCAAATGGTGGGCATGCAGTTTCCCTTCCCATCTGGTGTCCACTGGTGGCTGGCAACCCTATGCGGAGACCTTTGGTGCCTGCGCTATCCCCACCCCCTTTTACCCAGGGCCCCTGATGTGAATGGCTCTGCCTGGCACAAATCCCAACAACTCTCCCTGCCTCCTGCTTGTGTGAAATGAGCAAATGTGAAATTGCCCAGGATTGAAGAGCTCAGGACCTTGAATTCCAAGAGCCAGGGAGAAATACTTTGTTGTTCTTTAGACCCAACAAGCCAAATCTGTTCACACCAAGCCTTCATTCCCAAGGCAACCCTCTCCCTTTTGACGGTCCTAAGGTGTTGCCACCTAATTCCATGACTTTTGCCACCGCAAAGGCTTCCCAAATTCGTACTGGGGCCACGCCTCTCAAAACGGATACAGGAAGGAGTCCAGATTCTCCTCTCCAGACACTCGGGCGGTGCATCGGAAGTAAATCTGAGATTAAACCCGTGTATCTTAGCTCCTCAGTGCTCCCCTTCATCATTTCTTGAACATACGTAGTAGCATGTCCTGGTCTTCTTGGCAGTCTCCTTAGGGATGTAGGGGAAAGGCAGTTTTCATATCAACTTTCTTTATGTTGCCATGAATTAGCTGCTTGCTGACTAAACTTATCAGACAAAAATTACACACTTCCCAAGTATTCACCCTTTCACACCAGAGTCACCTGCTCTAGTATTTGCACACAGTTACATTATTATCAACACTGTATTTCAACTAAACGCTCCAAGTGCAGGTGAAGATCTGTCCTCAAGGTGCTGGCTGAAGCAGGTGAGTGGAACAGTTCCAGGTCCCTGCCGTTCCGCGGTGTCAGCATCAGCTCTGTTCAGAGGTGACAGACAGCAAGGCCCCAGCCAGGAGAGGCTAAGGGGATGGGAGTGAGAGGGAGAGCTCAGCGGTGGGGCAGGAGCCCCAGGATGGGGGAATGCCAGGGCCTTGGCAGGTGGCCACCTCAGGACTGGCAGGTTCCCCAAGCCAGGGGTTCTTTCCCTCCCAAGACCAGGACTGATAGGAGGCTTGGGAGTCAGGGGCGAGGACAGATGGTGGCAGGTGCAGGGGGCGAAGGGGCCCTGCCTGGGATAAAATGGCAATGGTGCTCAAGGAAATAGAAGCAGCCACATTGCCACAGTGGCCACAGTGCAGGAGCAGGTGCTGCTGGGGAGCTGGGCCCCAGGCTTTATCTACACTGTCTCACTGTAAGTCCTCTCCGAACTTGGCACCATCGTCTGACTCCACACATTGTCATAGCCCTGCCAGGCAGGTGCTTGCAAAGGCCACAGAGCCATTGAGTGGGTGCAGGAGGGAGGCACACCAGGAATTCGGCCCTGGTCTGAGGCAGCAGGGGACACTTGACTGTGGTCAGCAGGGCCTGAACCCTGGCTCTGGAGCCTGTGAGTCACCCTGAGGGTGCAGAAATCTGAGTGCCTGGGGCCATGTGCAGAGTGTGGCCATGTCGCAGCTGTGGCTTCAGCATTCAGAGCCTCTGCCTCCACTGGGGATTAATGCAGGTTTCCAACATCTCTGTTTGGTCGGTGCTGATCTTTTTCCTAACTGGCGACTTACTGGTTCCAGGAGAGTTCTGGGCAGGCTGCAAATGTCTGCATTAAAACAGCTCTGCTGGGCTAAGACAGGACAGAAGCAGACAGCAGGTGGAGGAGACACACTTTCCTATCCAGCAGAACCTGTGGCAAGCTCCACAGCGCTCTCCAGTCCTGCTTCCGGGAAGGTGGTTAATTCCATCTGGTCAGTATTTCCACACTGCGCGAGCCTCCACTTCCCTCTACGTGTTCTCTGAGACCCACCCTCCTGGGCTTGCCACTTAAATGAGTCCAGAATTGCCTCACCACCGTTTTACTTGCAGAACCTGGCCTTCGTGTTGTGGGGATGATTAGGAAAGAAAGTTGCTTCAGGAAATGGCCAGAAAGGGGTTCCACAGAACTGGCTTATGAAAAAGTTTTGCAGAATCTGTACTTAGTAAGCTGGAAACAAAGGCAAAAGAAAAAATAGAAAATCTTATTGTAGAAAATACGCTTTGCAGTGTTTGAAAAGGCTGTTCTTGTTAAATTAACCCATTAATAAATACAAACCACTTAACATTTGCTTTTTAATTGTTGTCTATAGTGCCAAAATAATTGGCCTGTGAAGCCAGTGAGAGTCTGTCTAGTTGAACAATAGTAGTATTTATTCTTTGAGGCCCCAAACATCAAAGAAAGTGTTGTTTAAATAAAAAGATGGGGTGTGAGCATGGAGGTGAGTGGACAATGGGAAATTACTTAATGGGTACAATACTCATCTTTTGGGTGAACACTAACAGCTCAGACTTCAGCACTGTGCAACATATCCATGTAACAGAATTACACCTGTACCCCCTACATTTATAGAAATAAAAAAGACGCATCATAAACTGAACAAAACAGCCTATATCTTGAAGAAATCATGCTTGAAAAATAATTTCACTCTCTAAAATTTAATTTTAAATTTTAAATTATTGATTGGGAGATAACTCCCATGGCTCAGAAACAAAAAACATGAAAAGCATTCAGTATAGTTTGTTCTCCATCCACATCCTCCTCTGCCTGGTTTCATTACAGTCTTCTGTGTAACAAAGTCTTTCTTATTGATTTCTAGGAACTCTTTATATGTGGCACTAAGGGCATGAGTTATGATTAACTTCTTGTGCATCCTTAGAGCTTCCTGATGCAGATGCAAACACACAGGAATGTGAGTGCTCACCTTCATCTTCATCTTCTCTGTGTTTTACACAAATGGTGGCAGATTGCATGCACTTTACTACACCTTGCTCTTATAAATTGAATAATCCCCCGTATGAGTACAAGTAGCATTCCATTTTCTTACAGCTGTGAAGTATTTCAGTACCACACTGGATGGATGGTTGGTGTTGATAGACACAGATTCTTTCAAATCTTTTGTTATAACAGATAATGCTGTTCTCTTGCTAATATACCATTTTGCATTTGTCTTTAGAATCTGTCGTGAAATTGCTGGGTCAGAGGACACACATCTTTGTAATTCTCTAGGTGTTGCCAAATTATCCTGCCTGTGGTCATGCGATTCGCTCTTCCCAGGCATGAAGACCACTGTTTCTCCACGGCTCCTTACCTGCACATCTGGATGTCTTCTGACATTTGCTGATTGGATAGGTTTCCTATTCTATTACTAGTAAGGCTGACCATCTATTTAGCTTATTGTCACTGGACCATTCCATCAAAGTTTTTTGTCTATGGATCTATTGAGTTTTTTATCTTTTTCTTTCTTATTGATTTTTTGGAACTTTTAATATATTAAGGATGTAAGTTGTGATAAGAAGTGAAAATACATTCTTTCCCTCAGTGTCTGTCTTGATTTCTTAATTCGTTGATGGTAGTTTTTCATGCAGAAATTCCTATTTTTATGTAGTTTAACTTATAAATTCTTTTACTGCATTTGTATTTTTCAGTTTTAGTTTAAAAAATCATGGAATTTGTCCATGATTTCTGTTAGTACTTTTATGGCTTTACTTATAACATTTAAATATTTTATCTTTTTGAAATTTATTTTTATATACATTGTGAGACATGGGTGCAAGTTTCATCTTTTATTATTTATTTTGCCGAATGCTACTCGGTTGTCCTAATGCCATTTATCACATAGTTTTTTTTCACTAACAATTTTAGATGTCACTTTTATGACTTACTAATTTCCCTCCTATTTTTGTGTCTATCTGCATTTCCTGTGCTTTTCTGTTGTTCTGTGTGTTTGGTCATGACCCAGTACAACAGTGTTTTAGTTATTAAAATTATTATATGATCTAAGAACTGGTAAGGCTAATTCTTTCTCTTTACTCTTTTTTTTTTTCTGGATTTTCCTATTTTTATTTGCTTCTTTTTCTATTTTATCGCTAGAATCAGATTGTCTAGTTCTCACCTCACAGTAAAATACATAAATAAATAAATGAAATACAAAGATCCAGAAAAACTTCAGTCTATTTTTATTTAGGTGCATTAATTTGCATAGTAAGTTTGGGAAAGTTGGTATTTTATGATGTTGAGTCTTCCTAGTCGGGAACATCATAAGTCTTTCTATTTGTTCAAGTTTTCTTTTATAAACTTTTGAGGGTGGATAAAAACATATCTCATATAGATCTTAACTTTCTTGTTAAGTTTATTCCTAGGAACTTTTTCTTGCTAATTAAATGGGAGTAATTTCTTGTGCTATATCATCCAAAGCTATTGGTTTCTGTACATCAATTTTATCCCTACATCTTACTAATTTTCTTATTATTTGTTGAAGAAATTAACTTGATATTGTCTTTTGGTTTGAGATAGGTGTATCTTACCATGTTATGAAAATACTTATCAAATCCTATTTTATTAAGTTTTTTAACACTAAATTTCATCAAATACGAAATGCAGCTTCTGTATAGATTATCTTATTTTTTTAAATCTTGGATCTGTTTGCAAACATTTTTTAAAGTTTTTGAATTTTATTTTTACATACAAATGTGTTTGGTTGTCCTTTACAGCATGTGTCATTCAAAACACAATTTCCCATAAGGATGCCATGTTTTCCTAAGCATTTAGAGTTCCACAGCATCTTGAATTCATTTAACAAAATGTTATAGAAGAAACAACTTAATACAGTTGTGTCATTATTTAAAAGCTAACATTTTTCTCTGAGCTTGAAAAATAATAGATACCTTTTCTAGTGAAGAAAGCACCCTAAATTCTTTCTTGAATATAGTAGGTGTGTGTGGATAGATGAGTAGATTGGCAGGCAGATAGATTAGATAAACATTGTCAATAAAATTAAATGGACATGATGCACACTTTAAAACTCTCTCTGAAATAAAATAATGAGAAGTAAGAAATCCGAGCCCACTGGTGTCAGCCTGTTCAGGTGGTCCTGCTGGAGCACTGTCTCCATGGAAACAGAGGAGTGTCGGAAGGAAGGACTGAGGAGACGCGGCAGTGAGTTCACTTTTTTCCCCGAAACACCATCATTTCCTAAGCTTATTTATCACCTTTCAATTCTACAGAATCACATTATGATTTTATGGTGACTAAGGACCAAGAGTAGAAATGTCTTATCTCCAAGGCATGGAGCAGGCACTCACCATTGAAAGGAAGTAATCTTCAGGCTTTTTACAGGATATTGATCTCCGGGGAATGTCAGCAGGGGCACAAGGAGAGCAGTTGATGCATCTGGACTCATAAATTGCTCACATTACATCCAATACGTGGTGTATGATATGACATGTGTCATGGAGGCGTCTGCAAAGGTGCCACAAATGCCAACATCTGGGTTACTTATTTGTCTCCTCTGCAGTGAAGCTGGCAATAAACGCATCTCCTAGAGGCTGGGGAAGGTGGAAGAGAATGATCAAATGAAAGCTGCTAAAATGAGGGCATTTTTTCTGTCTTTCTGAATCATCAGCCATAAAACAACAGCAGGTCAGGGGTTGCGTCCTTCTCTCTGCTGCTACAACCAGCGGGTGATGGATTGGATGTGGTGGCTCCAAAATGCAGATGAAGGTCAGCACTGCGTTCTGACTAAGACTTCTCAAACTCTCACTTAACAGTTAATTTTTGTTTCAAACAATGAATGTTGTTATTTTAATGATGACATGAGTTTAAAACTTTGATGCTTCCATTTTTCAAAAAGGGCAAACCACCACGGACAATAACAAAATCCTTTAATACAACAGCACTGGGGAAGAGAGCCCAGGGCTTCTGCAGTTGCTGATTCTCGGCACCTCCGTCTCCATTACTCTCTGATGTTTCTTAAAGGCTTTCATATATGCATGAGATAAAAGCAGCACAGCAGAAAACCAGAAATAAATACAATGAGAATGAAGACGAGGCAGTCGTAGACAAGGTGCTGCTCAACCAGGAGGTGGCAACAGCAGGAGAGTGGACCTCCTTCCAGTGAGGTGAGTACAAAGGCCAGTGAGCTGAGTACAAAGCTCCCTGCCCCAGTAGGATGTGAGGCCTTGGAGGCCAGTGAGCTGAGTACAAAGCTCCCTGCCCCAGTAGGATGTGGCCTGCTCTAGGCAGAAGGTAGTTGAGCAAAGGAGAGAGGCAGCAAAGTAGAATGACTTCAAGTCTTTTAAAGGTTGAAATATGCTGAATAAAGAATAAAGGCATAGCTGTGAAGAGTATGGGATTGTTTATATTTGCTGAGTAATCAATACCACATATTGCTTTCACGTGGTTTGCTCAGCTCTGTCCCAGGGCACATCCAAGAAGCATGGGCATGTTTCTGTGCTCTTACAAAGCCTCCTTTCTGTTAGGAAGCCTGCAGCAAACACAAAATAGCCATCGGCAAGAGTGTCTGTGGCCCCAGTGCTGCCCTGGGCAGCACACGAGAGTGATGGACTTTGAGTCCCTTTATTTTCTGCTCTCTGGAAGGAGGGGTTTTAATAGGATTTATCTTTTTATATGTTCTGCCTAGCATTAGAGAAGCAGACAATTTTAGTCAATCATTCAAGACCATCCTGCAACTTCAGCTTTTGCGTTTTACAACCTTGTAAAGAAACGCAGCACCATAATTAATTACAATTAGAGCACTGTGATGTGAAATTTTAGCCAAAAATCTAAGTCTGCCAAAAATCTAAGTCATTGTCTTTGGCCTGAATTCCTGTAGCATAATCTTAGATAGGCGCACACATCCCTAATCCAAGGGCCTGTGCACACCAGGTGCTCCTCCCAGCAGGGAAGGCTCGGAGGTGTGGGCCAGGGAATCATGCAGAGTTGGGCTTTCATTCAGCATCTCCGGGAATCAGGACACTGCACTCACACACACGCTTGCCACACAACCTGGCAGGAGCCAAGACAAGGTGGCAACACTTTCATCTTTGAGAAAGGAGTTTGAAAACATTCACTGCAAATTAACACAACTTTTCTGACTGGCGTGTGCCCACAAATGGGTGCAGCTGCACCCCGAACCGGCCTGGGCTCCCTGAAAGATCAGAGGGAAATGTGAGGGGCAAACGCGTTCAGTGCAGATCTCTCTTTCTTCAAGCAAGGGAAGAGAGGTTTCCAAATTTGAAAGTGACCTTCGCACCTCCTCTCCTTTCCGCTCCCCTCTTCAGTGGAATGTTTGAACAAGCACTGATGACTCGCCCCCTAATAGCCCAGATAAGGTTTTACAAGAACAGGTGGGCCTGCTTGAAAGATAAACTTTTCCTGAAGCCACAATAAGACAAATGATCCGAAACTTGCAATTTGGTTAATGTTTCTCTCTCCGCCTTGCTGTGTACACAGCTCCTTCTGGCCGGCAGCAGGAAGAGTGGGCCTGTGTGTGCCAGGCCCTGCAGTCTCTCCTCTCACCTGGTGTCTCCAGTGAGGGGCCTGAGTCATCACACACCATGAGCTTGTGCTCAGCCTGCACATCTCCCACCTCCCACCAGCTGCTCCTCAACTGGCAGGGCCTGATTCTAGCAAAATCTAGCACAATCTCACTCCTGTGCAGATGCTTGGGTTTCCCTGGTGTCTGGGGGGTGGTGTGCTTGGTGGCCTGAGCACTGCGGTGAATCCATGTTTCCCTCCCAGCACGCTCTTCTGTCCTCCAACTTGGCGGACAGCTCCGGCCAGGGACGTAGCCCAGCCGATGCCCACCCTGTGCTCTGTCCATTTCATAAGAGCCCCCGGTTTCCTCACTTCACTCAGATTTTGCCAAGAGAATGGTCCCAGTGTGGCCCAGAAAGGCCAGGAGGTTGCAGCCTAGGACTGACAGCAGAGGTGGCTCTGGTGGGGAGAAAGTAGCTCTCCCAGCCTAGCCCCACTGGTGGGCGGCACCTCCTGGCATCAGGCCATCTTTTGTCCCAGTCCTAGGTAAGAAAAACACAAACAAAAGCCAGCCTCATGGCGCTCGAGAAGCAGGAGGCCATTCACTGACCGCAACACGCTGTGTGCACAGACACACGCGTGGACAGGAGGTAGAGCTTGGGGTTGCTGTGGAGTGGACAGGACACTGGAGCGGCAGGCGGTGCAGACCCACTGAGCAGCCAAGCATGGTTGTCGTCCTGAGCAGCAGGAGCCAGTATGTTGCTCAGGGCCTTGTCTTTTTTACAAAGAGCCTCAGGCCACGGGGGCTTCTCTGGGTGCCTCTTTGCTCCCACACTTGCACGCGGGCGGAGAGCAGACCCGGCCACCGACTCACTTGCTTTGCTGTCTTCAGATGGAAAAGTCACTGTCATAGCCCCAAAGGAGGGGAAACTGTACTGATTTGGGGAACCTCTATGTTAATTTCAAAACAGATAGTCTCCTGTGTTCTCAAAGACTGGAAGTGAACCCCACAACTGCCTTAGGCCGCAAAAGCTTTATCCTTTCTAATTGGCATCCCTGTGACCTACTCTGTGCCCTGCGGATACTTTGCTCAGCCAGTCAGAAGGAGGGAGGCCAGACACCAGCCCCCACGGACCTGCGGCTGGGACCCTCTGCATGGGGACGATGGGGTCGGGGCACAGTAGCTGCCCCAGCAACAAGTGGGGCCGCAGGAGGCTGATGGTGAGCTTGGAGGTTGGCAGAATTCTAAATCTGGGCACTGCAGGGTCCACACAGGTCATGACTCTACTCTGCTCCACCCAGGCTCCGGAGAACCTGAGCAGGAACCTCTGCAGGGCGGGCCCAGGGCCCCCTACCCTCTCGGCAGCCGGTAGTGCTCCCTGACAGCCTGGGCCTCTCCTCCTTCTGGTAGCTCTGTAATTTGCTGTCGCCAAAGTGGCTGGGCCTGGGACAGGCTCCTACTCTCCCTCCTGAAGCTGGGCAGTCCCTCCTGCCTCAGTTTTTCAGACTAGGCCGTCTGTCCCATCACGAGCCACTGAAGACGCTCAGCTGTTTCCACCCGCCCGGTCTGACTGCTGGATCTCCCTCTGCATGCGTCGGTTTGCTGTGTTCTCGCTACTTGCCCTTGGGTAAAATTTCTTCTCGACTAACCAAGCTGCACGTCCTGTAGGGCAGGTCCGCACCTCACAAGCATGTTGCCCACATAGCTCAGAAACAGATGCATTCACGCTTGTTAAAAGTAAAACGGGGTCGGGCGCAGTGGCTCATGCCTGTAATCCCAGCACTTTGGGAGGCTGAGGCGGGTGGATCATCTGAGGTTGGGAGTTCAAGACTAGCCTGACCAACACGGAGAAACCCCATCTCTACTAAAAATACAAAAAATTAGCTGAGTGTGGTGGCACATGCCTGTAATCCCAGCTACTCGGAGGCTGAGACAGGAGAATCGCTTGAACCCAGGAGGTGGAGGTTGTGGTGAACCAATATCAGGCCATTGCACTCCATCTTGGGCAACAAGAGTGAAACTCCACCTAAAAAAAAAAAAGTAAAACCAATTAGCTAATTTAAAGGAGTTTAACTGAGCAAAGAATGATTCACAAATCAGGCAGCCTCCCAACAGAGAACGGACTCAGAGACTCCAGCGCAGCCATGTGGTGGAAGAAAATTTAAGATTGCAAAAAGAAAGAGATGTACAGAAAATGGAAATGAGGTACAGAAACAGCCAGATTAGCTAAGCTTGGGGTTTGCAGTATTTGAACATGGTCAGAGAGCTGGCGACCTTAGACTGGCCAAAACTCAGTGATTGGCACAAGAGTAGGCTACAGTCTGTTTACAGTTCCATTTAGGTTATTGTTCATGATGTACACAGAAACCTTTAGGTCGAAATTAAAATACACAAGGAGGCAACTTTAGGCCACACGTGATTTGAACGCGAGAGAGGCCTGGTGGAGGCTGCATTCTTCTCTCCAAGAAGTCCATTTGTGGGCTGCTGAGCCACAAGATATGGAAGAACGCAAGACAGCGAGAGAAGGCCATGAGCTGGACCCAATACCCACATATTCAGGAGTAAGCCCTGGTGCTGTGAAAGGGTCAGTGCCTCCACAAACATCTCCACAGACATTGAGCTCTGAACGGACACAGACCGCTACACACAACAGAGCTCGACAAGCCACAGAGCTCCACAAACCGCAGAGCTCTCTACAGACAGAGAAATCTCCTCACCACAGAGCTTTCCAAACCAAAGAGCTCTCCACATACACAGAGGTCTCCACACCACAGATCCCTCCACAGACACTGAGCTCTCCTCAACACAGAGCTCTCTACTGACACAGATGTATTTATAGACAGAGATCTCCACACAAGACTCTCCACACCGCAGAGCTCTCTATACTACAGAGCTCACCAGACCAGAGTTCCCCACAGACACAGAGCTCTCCACACTACAGAGTTCTCCACAGACACAGAACTCTCCACACTACAGAGTTCTCCACAGACACAGAACTCTCCACACCAGAGAGCCCTCCACAGACACAGAGCTCTCCACACCACATAACTCAACAGACGCAGAAATATCCACCCCACAGAACTCTCCTCAGTCACAGAGCTACCCACACCACATAACTCTCTACACTACAGAGCTTGCCACATTCACTCACCTCTCCACCGACACAGAGCTCTCCAGACACAGAACTCTTCATACAACAGAGATCTCCACAGACACAGAGCTTGCCACACCACAGAACTCTCCACAGAAACAGAGATCCCCACAGCACAGAGCTCTCCACAGACACAGGGCCCTCCACACCACTGGGCTCTCCACAGACATAGAGCTCCCCACAGACACAAAAAACTCCCCACAGACACAGGACTCTCCACAGACACAGAGCTCTTCACAGACACAGGGATATCCACACCGCTGGGCTCTCCACAGATACAGAGCTCTCCCCACCACAGAGCTCTTCATACCACACACCTCTCCACAGACACAGAACTTTCCACAGACTCAGAATTATTCACAGGCACAGAGATCCCAACACCCCATAGTTATCCACACTACAGAGCTCTCCACACCACAGAGCTCTTCACAGACAAAGAGCTCTCCACAGACACAGGACTGTCTATAGACACAGAGGTCTCCACACCACTGAGCTCTTCAAACCATGGAGCTCTTCACACCGCAGAGCTCTCCACATAGAGAGTTCTTCACACCACAGAGATCTCCACACCACATAGTTCTCCACATACAGAGAGCCCTCCACATACATAGAATTCTTCACATACAGAGTTCTTCACACCACGGAGCTCTTCACATCATAGAGCTCTCTACAACACAGAACCCTTCACACCACAGAACACTCCACAGACACAGAGCTCTCCACACCACAGAGCTCTCCACAGGCACAGAGATCCCCACACCACATAGTTATCCACACTACGGAGCTCTCCCCACCGCAGAGCTCTTCAGATACACAGCTCTTCACAGACACAGGGCTCTACGTACCACTGGGCTCTCCACAGACACAGAACTCTTCACAGACACAGAGGTCTCCACAACACTGAACTCTTCACAGACACAGAACTCTCCACAGACATGGGACTCTCCACAGACACAGAGGTTTCTGCATCATAGACCTCTCCACACCACAAAGCTCTTCACACCACAGAGTTCTTCACACCACAGAGCTCTCCACAGACAGAGAGCTCTCCACAGACACAGAGCTCTTCATACCACAGGGCTCTACACAGACACTGAGATCTCCTCAACACAGAGCTCTTCACTGACGCGGATCTATTTACAGACACAGATCTCCACACCACACAGCTCTCCACACCACAAAGCTCTCCAAAGACACACAGTTCTGCACACCACAGAGCTCTCCACAGACGCAGAACTCTCTACAGACACACATCTCTCTACAGACACAAACCTCTTCACATACACGGAGCTCTCCACACCACAGAACTCTCCACATACACAGAGCTCTTCACACCCCAGAACTCTGAACACCACAGAGCTTTTCACACCACAGAGCTCTCCACACCACAGAGTTCTCCACATAAAGAGAGCTCCCCACATCACAGAGTTCTCCACACCACAGAGCTCTCCACATAGGAAGTTCTTCATGCCTCAGAGCTCTTCACAGCACAGAACTCTCAACATACACAGAGCTCTCCAGACCACAGAACTCCCCACATCACGGAATTCTCCACATACACAGAACTCTCCACATCACAGAGCTCTGCACACCACTTAGCTCTCCACAGACACAGAGCTCTCTACAATACAGAGTTCTGCAGACCACAGAATTCTCCAAATACATAGAGCTTCCCACATCACAGAACTCTCCACACCAGAGAGCTCTGCACACCACAGCACTCTCCTCACCACAGGGCTCTCCACAGACACAGGGGTGTCCACACCACAGATCTCTTCACACCACAGAGCTCTCCACATACACAGAGGGCTCCACACCACAGAGCTCTTTACTGACACAGAACCCTCCACACCACAGAAATCTCCACAGACACAGAGCTCTTCATACCACAGAGCTCTTCACATACACACTGCTCTTCACATACACAGAGCTCTCCACACCAGAGTTCTCCATAGACACAGAACTCGCTCTCCACACAACAGAGCTCTTCACACCACACAGCTCTCAATATACACAAAGCTCTTCAAACTACAGAACTCTACTTGCCACAGAGCTCTCCACAGACACAGGGCTCTCCACACCACAGAACTCTACACACCAAAGAGTTCTCCACAGACAGAGAGCTCTACATACCACAGAACTCTCCATATCACAGAGCTCTCCACAGACATAGAGCTCTCCACAGAGATGTCCACACAGAGCACTCCACATACACAGAGCTTTTCACACCACAGAGATCTCCAAACCAGAGTTCTCCATAGACACAGAACTCTCCACACACACAGAGCTCTTCACATATGCAGAGCACTTCACACTACAGAGCTCTCCAAACCACAGAGCTCTACACGAACACAGAGATCTCCATAACATGGAGCTCTTCAGAGTCACAGAGCTCTCCACACCACAGAGGTCTCCACATACACAGAGTTCTCCACACCACAGAGCTCTTCACACCACAGAGGTCTCCACATACACAGAGTTCTCCACATACACAGAGCTCTTCACACCACAGAGCCCTCCTCACCACAGAGCTCTCCACATACACTGAGATCTCCACACCACAGAACTCTCCACAAAGCTCTCCACAGACACAGAGCTGTACACACCAAAGAGTTCTCCACACAGAGCTCTACACACCACAGAGCTCCTCAGAGACACAGCGCTCTCCACACCAGAGATCTCCATATCACAGAGCTCTCCAAAGACACAGAGCTTTCCACAGATACAGAGCTCTCCACAGAGATGTCCACACAACAGAGCTCTACAGAGTTGTTCATGCCACAGAGATCTACAAACCACAGACTTCTCCATAGACACAGAACTCTCAACATACGTAGAGCTCTCCACATTACAGAGTTCTTCACATATGCAGAGCACTTCACACCACAGAGCTCTCCAAACCACAGAGCTCTCCACAACACAGAGCAGTCCACAAACACAGAGCTCTCCACACCACAGAGCTCTCCACAGACACAGAGCTTTCCACACCACAGAGGACTTTACACCACAGAGCTCTCCACAGACACAGAGCTCTCAACACTATAGAGTTCTCCACAGACACAGAGCTCTCAACGCCACAGAGCTCTCCACAGACACAGAGCTCTCCACAGACACAGAGGGCTTCACACCACAGAGCTCTCCACAGACACAGCTCTCCACACCACAGAGTTCTCCACAGACACAGAACTCTCCACACCACAAAGCTCTCCACAGACACAGAGCCCTCTGCACCACAGAGCTCTTCATACCACAGCTCTCTCCACAACACAGACCTCTTCACATACGCAGAGCTCTATACACCAAACAGCTTTCCACATACACAGAGCTCTCCACAACACAGAGCTCTCCACACCACAGAGCTCTCCACATACACAGAGCTCTCCACATACACAGAGCTCTCCACACCACAGAGCTCTCCACTACACAGAGCTCTCCACTACACAGAGCTCTCCACATACACAGAGCTCTCCACTACACAGAGCTCTCCACACCACAGAGCTCTCCACTACACAGAGCTCTCCACATACACAGAGCTCTCTACACCACAGACACCCCCTGTACTTACCCCTAGGTCTGACTCCCCTTAGCACAGACCCCCAATACTTAAATTTTCTGCACTCACACTGGCAGCAGTGACTTCAGCAGCACTGACCCACTCTGCACTGACCC